AGACATAGAAGCTAATCAGTTAGGCCAAATGGTTATACTCCCGTCAACTTTTACTGGTGGCCAAGGTACATGCACGAAAGAACACAAGATGCTATGACTTACGTTAGACATTACGGTCGTCCTGACCTTTTTATTACTTTTACATGTAATCCTCGCTGGGACGAGATAAAAGAGCTCTTACTTCCCGGTCAAAGATCATATGATCGACATGATATAATTGCAAGAGTGTTTCGGTTAAAAGTCAAAAAGACCATGAACTTATTGACAAAAGGTAAAATATTCGGAGAAGTGAGATGCTATATGTATTCAACAGAATACCAAACTGTAGAGAGGTTCAGGTAGTTGTAAGCTATAACTTATCGAATAGGTTGTGATAATAATCATTATCTTAAAAACTAAATTAATATGTATAAAATATTATTTCAAAAATCTTAATTAATTTAAATTTCAATAGATTTAACAAAATTTAATCTTGGCAGGTTACATACATTTGTATACTTAAACCCGGCAACGACGGGTAATTTAGTTAGTAATATATATTAGTCACGCTCCCGACGCGACGCGTAGCGGCATAATTATACGAATCATACTATTAAAATAGAGCGCGCGCATTTACCAGTACTATATAAAATCGTCACCAATAACAATGTGTATTTATTATGATATCAAATTTATAAAAAATTGTCATTGGAATGTAAATGCATCGATCATTTACCCATTAATATATAAATATAATTTATTATTCAATGCATTTTTTAAAATTATTTCCATTATTTTTAACGAATACTTATATTTGCAATTCGTATTAATAATACCTATAAGATTTATCATGTACTACCTAATTTGAAATTATACAATGGGGTTTGCATTTATTTTCTGTTTTTTTCACTTATTTCAGGCTCATTGTTGCTTACATGGTCCGCGGTCTTCGACTACGAAATCTTTTTCTCCACACTATCAATTTTTCTCTTCTCTCTCCATATCTATTGAGTCTTCCTTTTATGGTTTCAAAATTTTCCCTCACTCCATCCTCTTGGTTTTTTTTTTTAACCGTTGCCCATTACTTGATCTCACCGTCTTGAATTCTCGTATAAGCTAGCTTCTCCCTTTCCAAATTTCCAGTGGTTCATTATATTTATAATATAATTAATATTAATAATATAACAGTGGCGTATTTGACTTAATTTTAATTGGAGGGGGGATACTAAATTTACGAGCATTATACATTAGTTAAGAACAAATTTTTTTTTATGTATATGCTTATGTTCTTGAATACATTGGTCCATTTTATACTTGCATCTTTTACACATTGCACATCTTGAGAAAAGTAAATAAAATACAATAAAGCTCAGATTACAGTAAAACAATATTATATTTATTAAATTATAAAATTAGTATTTATTTTTTTCATTTGTGAAAATGTATTAATAATTCTGTCAGTATTTATATTATTGATCTATGCACACACAATAAAGCCAATCCGCTTAATATCAATATGATGTTGATTTTTACTATGCACTTCAAAATCACCATCTTTTCCTAAGATTTTTGCATATTTATTCAGGTTCCTGTATCAATTTATTTAATTTTGTTGCTTTTCCACATTTGTTACTAAATAATACACAGTATTTGCAGAAAACACCATATATTTTTGTTAGAATACACAAGCCAATTGTATTTTTCAAAATGTGATCTATTCAAAAATCTTCTTTCTTCCTTGATTTTTTTTATATAAGCCTAGAAACATTTGGTCGTTTTATCACCCACGAAGAAATCGAGCTTTTATTAGTAGGGATTCCATTATAAGTAATATTTTAAATTTTTAATGTTTGACTAATATAACAGAATTTCATAAAAATAAATAATATCAATCAGTTATATTATGGAATAACCCGAACTGATTAAAAATTAAAATGTAATATTTTCTTAACATAAATTTATAATATATACAAATAACTTGGGTAATGGGTGGAGGGACGATCGCCTCCCCCCTCAAATACGCCATTGTAATATAACATTCGACTCATTGAAGAGTTCATTCCGTTCTACCGTTCTGCATTAGTTCTACTCCTGCGTGAGCATTTTACATTTTCTTTGTTCAATAGCACGTGGTGCGTGCCTCAGTTTTGAAGTCATGATTTTTTGGATACACGAAAATAAACCCATACAGTAGATTATGCGGATAGTGGACGGGCGCAAATAAGTATCAACATTTTTTTTTCATAAAATACAAATAGTTTTAACTGTAAATTACTCATAGAAATAATTTTTCACAAAAAAATCTGATTCAAATTCATAAATTCATTTAAGTATTTGTAATTTTTTTTTTTTATATCTTAATTGACTCGTTATTAGTTATTGCGGTCAAGAATCGAGATGTAATTGTTTGAGAAGTTGCTAGTTAATATGTCTTTTGTTCAGTAATAAATAATAATGATGTAAATATTTCTATTCAAATTAAAAAATATCAATTATTTTAATTTATTTTATTGATATATATTTCTCAGTACATATCACATTGAAAAAATCCTTTGTAGAGATCTGACCTCCATGTCCCCTTTGTATAATAAGTCCTTACAGTTAGTGTAGTTCGTTTTAAATTATTTTCATATGATCGTTGACCGTAAGTCGTGACTATATAAACTACAACTACGAGTACAACGGCTATATAAATTATTTACACGTTTTAATTGGTTGACGAGTGATGTTTGTACCAAAAAATGCAATTACGATGCATTTGCAGTCTACAGTTTTTTCTGTGAATTATATTTCTTTTTTAATAATTCTAGTTTGTAGAATTGGCGTGGCTAGGATATGGCGAACTGTGCCTATGCCAGGGGTGAGAATTGCAAATGGGCGCAAAATTGTGCAACAGTCGTATTAATATTTTACCTTCAAAAATAAATTTCTCCATTATACTTTTTGAAATAAATATATTTTGTCTAATTGTACATAGATACTACATATGAATTTAATGATGCAATTCTGAAAATAGCACAAAATAATTTATACAGGAAATTTTATATGAAGTTTGAATATTATATGAATTAAGCTTAAAATTAACACTGTAATAATAACATATAAATATCAATTGTACTAATTAAAAAACGTATTAAAATTAAAAGTTAAACAGGATAGTATAATTTTACTGTATTCGATTTGAATGCAATGATTACATTCGATAAAAAACAATTCTCAGCGGACGAGGGAATCTTTTTTATTTAATTTTATTCATTTCTATGGTGATAAACAAAGCGTTTTAAGAACAGCTTAAGAACGATTTATATAAATAGGTAATTTATATAATTATAATTTATAATTAGGAAATATCATAAAAATGAAAAAATATATAAAATAAAAGAAAAAGCTCAAAAGTCGCTCAAATGTTTTGAAAATTTTACCATGTCTAGGTAAGGATAATTTAAGTAAATAATCCAAATTTCAAGTTTTTACGAATGTTTTTATACCATGTCTAGTTAAGGATAATATAAGTAAACAACCCAAATTTCAAGTTTTTACGAATGTTTTTAACCGAATTACAACAAAAAAAAAACTGCCGAAATTAAAATGTCTATAAATAACTCAAAAATGGCTAAAATTTACCGAACTTTAAACCGGAAGAAACAAAATCCAATATACAACAAAAATGATTTCTTGTCATTTTTCATTTGAAACAATATTTCTGGTAGAAAACGTCATCCGTAATTATATTATATATTATATTATATTATAAAATCGTGAAATCGTAAGTTTTTTCTCCTTTAACTGTTTTTATTTCGAGACCGTTTCGAAAATCGGAAAATTACTTCTCTAAAGTACCAGCTCAAGAACATTACCTTCCAGAAAAGATGCTACTCTTGATACTTTTGAGCAAGTTTAGTGGGGGAAAGTGTTTACAGAATAAAAAAGAAAAAATAAATAAACATTGTAACTCCGCTCAGAATCTAAAAAATATCAAATTAAATAAAATTAAAATTTTAATTAGTTGAGAGGTGTTTTCTTCTAAGTTTGCCAAAGGCGCTAGTGAGTAAACATATTAGGGGCCTTTAGAAGAACTTTTTTTTGTGCTCTATTGGAATGGTGCGCCTTGTGTGTAGTGAATCCCGTAGGATTGGCGCGTGACGCGTCAAGAGTGTGCTTGATAATATATGACACGCGCTAGTCCTACGTCCTTTCCTTTTATACTGAAATTCACAAGAAAGCATGTCTGTGAGAATGCAATAACCGTCTCCATTCCTGCGTGATTCGCGTGACGTGTGGAGTTTTGTAAAAACCAACACTCCAATAGTTTTCTTTTAACCGTGTTGTTTATTTTTTTTAACTTATACTACATTTCAAAATATATTATTTATTAATTAATTATTTATTTATGATTGATTAATAAATTTAATAATAATATAAAATACAAAATAAAACAAAAAAAAATTGGCTATTATATGCACGGCAATGCACGTGTTGACACAAAACAAAAGGAAAAAAAGATCAAATTGGGCGAAAGATAATTGGCATAGTCTCCATTTTTAAAATTATTATTTTTATTTATACAGATACCTAATTTTGTGGCGGTTTAGGAGCTATTTTCGTTCGTGATATTTGATATTTTATTTTAAAAGTCTTAGTTTTGAATAAATATTACTATCGGTAATTGCCATTTGTCAATCACACAGAGGTTCTTGTTCGGTTTTTGAAAGGCCGATATAGCGCAGACGAATTCATTGTTGATAGTGTTCTAGGAAGTCGTGAAACGATTATTGCCAGTTTTTAAGCGTTTATATTAATCACAGAACGATAATTTTATAATTATCCAGTTGGCAAATAAAAATAAAAATGAACCAAGTTGTATCTTTATTCTTTGTTCACGGCATAGACCTATTTAAATGGTTCACGGTAAATACACTAACCGCGTGTCGACTACAGCTGTAGATAGATAACGCGATGCAGGTACACGTCCGAGACCATGATTATAATGATAATGATAATATTATTAGTCATAGCTCTTTACACTTTAATGATAACCGTTTGTTGATGTTATGATGTTGCTGTATTGCCTACATCCATTTTTTAGAGTATTTATTAAATAAAATAATAGCTTTTATTTTATACAGACATGATGGAGTTGAGCCACAGTTTGCTCTTAAACGAAGAGGCATTAAAACAATTGCCAGAATCTAAAAAACCAGTTTTTATCTTTGAATGGCTACGGTTTTTAGATAAAGTATTATTGACTTCGAAGAAAGTAAGTATTAATCTATATTGCTAGACAAGTAATATATTTTCATTGTCCAGCGGTCTATTATAATTAACACACTCAAAATAGTATAATTAAGTGAAATAAATATTGATAATGTTGGTATTATAGTTACATTGTTATATGAGTACAAAGTTTAAAGAAATTTTGATTATAGTTAATTGTACTTTGTTTTTTAAAAAATTTTTAAATTAAATATATTAATATATTTGTTAATCGATGAGTGATTCATCAATAAAAGAAAAAATATTTTTTGTTTATCATGTAATATAGGCCATTGCTTGAAATATGTCATGATATAAGTATTAGTCTCTATATAAATTCAGAACTTAAAATGATGGTAATTTTCAACATAAATATATTATATACACTGCTGACCTAGATAATTAAGAATTTGTGCATAATCATAGTTATATAATATATAATCATAAAAAAATTTGAAATATGTCTGAAAGATTTTAAGATTATTGTTTTTATGTACATATATTACCAACCAAATAATACACATCTATAGTTCTAAAGATAATTTTTTAATTTGAATTGAATTTCCTTCTAAAACCCATTTGGACTTATGAAGGCAGATATGGGGCTCAGTAAAAATTTTAAATAGTAACCGTGTTCAAAGATTCTAGTTAAAAATTCTTCGCATTATTTCTTAGGGAACTTAACTACGTTTTTATTAAATCCCTCCACTCCGATTCAAAAATATCCACAGTCATTGATTGAACCAAACTTCATATTACTTCAATAATTGGTTAAACCATTACCCTAATTCACTTATTTCTCAACTTGCATTTGTGAACTGCTCATATATATATATATATATATATATATATATATATAAAGTATTAAATAAATAATGTGAATGTGTGATGTAATAATTATCTTGATGAAGTACTTCTTATGAGAGATTACTTTACTCTTTGTATACTCTTCATAAATAATTTTATCTATGAAACATATTGTTCTAATTGTAATAGATTGCTTAAAAATAAAAATTGTTAAAAAAAATGTATTTTTATAAATATTGTATCTAAAATATTTATTTATTAAATTATTTATTAAAATATTATAATGAGAAATGATTTAATTATTTTTAATGCATTAGTTCAACATTTTTATAAAATTCAAATAATTTATTAATGGGTTTTGCTTTATATTTTAGGTTGATATAAAAGAATGTCAAAAGAAAATGGTTGATCAACTAACTAACTTAATTCAAGAAAATCCTGGCCCACCGACAAGAATATTGATTGCAAAATGTTTGTCTACTTTATTCAATGTTGGTGACACATTTCTTCTTTTTGATACAGTTAACAAGTGCAATGATATTTTACGTGTTAAAGATGATTCTTTAACTTATCTATCTACAAAATTGTACGTATTAATAATTTATACAAATATTATCTAAAATAAGCTAGTATGTGGTTTAGAAACTATCTTCTTTTTAAATTTTTCAGATCTGCTAGAATATTACTTAATCACTTAGTATTTGCATTTACATGCATTTTATATCATAAATATTATTATACTATAATACAATGGTTCCTAAACTTTTACAATCACAGAACCCTTAAAAAATAGTTTGTGTTTCGCAGAACCCTTATATCTTTAATTCCTTTAATTTTTCTAAAAAAAAAAAGGAAAACTAATACTCTAAAAAATTTTTTTAATAATACTGTTAAGATTGTTAATGATTACTCTTTATTAAAATTAGTTTATAACATATTTTTTTTTAATAATATAAAATAATATTTTTTCCAAATATAATATAAAATAAATTTCTCAATAATCACATACATCTAGCGGAACCCTTAGAATTGCCCCACGGAACCCAAAGATTCCGTGGAACACACTTTGGGAAACGCTGTTATAATATATAGTTAATATAATAATATTAATAGTTATATAATGTACAGTTTGTTTAAAACTGTGTATTCAATTACATAGTAACTATGGAATGGAATTAATTTTCATGATTCTATTTTTAAATAATTTATACATTTAAAAATAAAATATTTATTTACTAAAATTTAATTTGTTTAAATAAATACATATTTTTAAAATAAAATAATAAATTCTAAAAATATATATAGAATAGAAATTCTATACTAAGACATTTTTATTTATATTTTCATTTATAAAATGTATAATCTACAAATATTCTCTAAAATTAACTCTAAAAAAAACTAAACTTATTTTCAATACAGAGTTTATAATTAATTAATCATAATGCTTTTCATCTGCTGTATTCCCTCACTCAGTGCTGTAATTCTATAGAGCAGAATATTTCCCAATAAGCTATGATGTATCGAATGACTTTGTCATAGTGAACAATTCTGCTTTCTTGGTTTTCCTAATAATGTGAATGTAGTATTTCAATATGTATTGAGCAATTTTATAATAAATATGTTTAATACAAATAAAATGCATTCAGGTATATGGTAATATGATAATGATAATCAGTGGTCCATTTAAGAGGGGAAGGGGGTAAATATCTAGGTGTCATGATATTAGAAGGCACCAAGATTTTAGAACCATGCTAAATTTATTTTTGTTTTCATGTCAAGTGGCTAGTTATATTGTAAAAGAAGTACTTAAAATTAAATTTCTGAATTCATTCTGAGTCCTAACACACATTAGTTAATGGGGAAAAATAAAATTGAACAACCATAAAATTATTTATTTGATAATTTTTATTGATTTTGTGAAAAATATAACGGTCTAGTCTAATTGTTGAACTGTAGACACAATTTAAAATTTATATTTATAATCTTTCAGATTGTGCTGTGACTAAGTAATTAAATAAATGTTATATCTTATTTTAGTGTTATTATTTATTATTTTTTTTTATTAGGGGAAGGAGACAATAAAATAATTGCTTCTGAGCAACTTTTATCGAAATATGGCACTAATGATAATATTAAATTATTTCAAATTAAAATACATTGGAATGATAAAGTTGTAATATTAAACTGTCCTGGTTTATAATACATACAATTTAAATAATTATTATTTATTAGTTTGATTAATTAATTAAATTCATTTGTTTAGAGCTGCAATTACTTGTATGGGATTTATGTACAAAAATTTGGGTCGTATGATGGGACGTTCTTACGAAGAAACTGTTCATATTTTAATTAAAAGTCTTAAAAATGCAGAATCCCAAATGAGAGTTGAAATAATTATAACATTAGAAAAAGTAATTTACTATTTATTTTTTTAATAGATTTTAATAATTCATTTTAATATTTACTATATATTTTAGATTTGCTGTGGGATGGGAAGTGTTATGGGTAATATTCATAAAGATATTTATAAAGCTATTAGACATTCTCTTACTGATCGAGTTATGGCTGTTCGTACTGCTACTGCTAAAGTAAGTTGACTTTAGATTAAATTTTTTTAATAAATATTCATGATTTAATTATGTTTAGTGTTTGTTTGAAATGATAAAACATTCCAGTTTTTTGTACACATCTGATTTAGAAAATGTAGCTACATTATGCTTTCGAGCTTTTGAAAATGCTAATTATGAAGTAAGATGTGCTGTAGCAAAACTTTTAGGTTTTTTAATTGCTTCTACACAAATACAAAATAAAGAACATCATTCAGGTATGAAATTTATATATATATATATATTTCATTTTTTTACATAATACATTTAAAATGTTTATTAGTTCAAATGTCAAAATCAACAAAATGTGTAACATTAGAAGATGCATTGACAATATTAATGAATGGATTTTTAAGAGGTGGAACTGGTTTCCTTAAGGGGACTGGAGAAATTATCAAAGGAACTACTGGTAGTCATAGGGAAGTCAGAGTTGGTGTTACTTATGTAAATATTTTTACTTTTATATTAAATAAAAATAAATAAATTTATGTTATATACATTTCTTTATTATTTTTATGTATATATTTAGAGTTATGTGGAATTTGTCCATTCATTGGAAGTAACTTGGTTGGAAAAAAATTTACATACTTTCATGCGTCATATTTTAGAATTAGTAGCTAATCCAAAATCAGCATCATCTTATATTGATGCTGTTTATTCTAGAAAGTGTATTAGCTTTATTTTACGTAATGTGCTTGGACAAATGCTGAGTGAAAAAGCACAATCTTCTGTATGTAAAGAATTGGCTCTGATAGTTAAGAAACAAATGACTTCTATTGGTAAAATAATCATCATTGTTAATATGTATTGAATTTAAAATATTTTTTGTTTCTTTAGATTTTAGTCCAGAAAATGCTAAAGATTTTAATCAAGAAACCATATTTGGTCAACATTTTTTAGTTTGTGCATTGCAAGAAATGGGTTGTTTATTACTTAATATGGGTACAATGGCTAACAATCTTATATCAGATAATACATGTAGTAAGTTTAAACTTAGTTTAATATTTCCATTAGTAACTAAACTTTCATATATATTTTTTTTTCATTTTAGATGTTATTGAAACTGCTTTATCTGTTATGGTACATCCAAGTCAAGCTGCTCGATTAGCAGCTGCTTGGTGTATACGGTGTGTATGTATCGCTTTACCAAGCCAGTGTACTCCTTTGATTGATCGGTATTATGTATTTAATTTTTATTTATTAACAAATAAATTAATATTTATTTTTATTCCTAGATGTATTGAGAATATTGAAAGTACAAGAGCAACACCAGAAATAATTATTGGTTATAGTTCTGTACTTATTGGCATTCTTGGAAGTGTAAATGTGTCACCCTTGGGCATTCCTCATATGCGAGGAAAAGTTAGTTATCTTATTATTTTATATCTATTTTCATATCTATTTTATAAAAATTAGTATGTAAAATAGTATTTTACTTATTCATGAGTGATGATTTTATGTTTTATGAATAGATTATATTTAATACTGCAGAAGATTTACTTAGAAGTGCTAGTCAAAATAGTCGATTATCCCTAAGTAGAACACAAGCTGGATGGCTACTAATTGGTGGTGTTATGACATTAGGTAATATTTTTACACTATTTAGACATGCTTTAACTATAATATATTATTTATAATATTAGGCGTTAGTGTTGTTCGAGGGCTTCTACCACGTATGCTTCTTTTATGGAGAAATTCTTTTCCTAGATCATCTAAAGAACTTGAGTCTGAAAAAGCAAGGGGTGATGCATTTACTTGGCAGGTAAGAAGGAATAGTTATTTTATAATAAATAAGCTTTATTCATAATTATTTGTTTTACTTTTTAACTTTAGTTAATTTTAGAAGGTCGAGCAGGAGCTCTTGCATCAATTCATAGTTTTTTATTCAACTGTAATGAACTAGTCACTGAAGATATTATTAGAAGATTATTGATTCCAATTGAATCTGCTCTTGCTATGCTAATTAAGTAAACCTATAGAATTATATGAATAATTAATTTAATTAATTATAGTAGTGAATATTTTTATATTATTTGAAATTTTTTACTATAATTTTTAATTAGTATTTGTTTTTAGTATGAATTCGGTTGTTAAAAGTTGTGGTCAACATTTGAAAGCTCCCATAGCATTAGTTCGATTACGATTATATGAAACATTATCTTTGATCCCTGCACAAGATTTTGAAGGTACATACATCTGTTAACTAGTTTTATATTTCTCTTATTTTTTTTGAGTTTATTGATAACCTCAAGTTATCATATTTTATTGTGTCATAATATAATTTGTCTTTAGAGGAAATAAAACCTTAATATCTAATTTCAGCTTCATTTACACATATTTTGAGACTGTTGGTCTCAGAATTTACATTAGCTGAGAATCCAGCCAATACTATTACATCAAAATTAAGATATGTTTGCCAAAATGAAGAAGGAATGCTCTTGGGAATATGTCCAGTTCAGCATTCACATCATCAAACTATTGAAGATCAAGTAATGAATTAAATATTAGTTTTAGTATAGTTATACACAAGTAATACTTAGAGTGATTTGTATTTTAATACTCATAGTATTGTAAATGATTTAAATTAACTTTTTCATTTGAACTTGCTGCTTATTAATAAGGTGGATTGTTCAAGAAAAGTTGAATATGATTATGTAAGTTATCATGAATTAAACTGTTATTTATAATAATTTATAACATAAATATATAAATGATAATTATTTATTATATGCTATGATTAAATTTACTTATATAATCATAGTAATGACTTAAAAAAATGTTATGTTTTTACAATATTTTATCAATTATTAATTGTGTAAGCAACTCTAATTTGCATATTTGCAATAATACAATTATATTTTAAATAACTGTAAATATTTTAATTAATTTAAGCTTGTACTCAAATCATTTTCAATCTAACTACTTAAATGAAAGTCGACTTTCAACAATTTAAATACATTAGTGCTAACCTTAGAAGGCCTGATTTAGTTATTATATAGACTGTAAAAAAAACTACTTAATTCAAACTTTATTTATTTAATATACAATTTATCTTAGAAATAATTTCCGATTTGTTTTAATTTGTAAATTACAACAATACATTTTTATTTTTTCAGCTAATTCAAAATAATGCCATTGGATCAGGTGCTTTAGAACATGATCCTAGATATCTTTACCTCTCTGTATCTAAAGTAAGTACTAGAACAACTATTAAAATGCTTGTTTGTTTTTTACACTGTGTTAAGTATTATTTTTTTTCTTACATTTGGAAAATAACTAAGATTTAATTGAAATTGATTTTATTATTATAGTACTTCAAGTAAATTACTTATTATTTTAAGTATAAAAATAAAAATGTATGTAACATGTGGTTTTCGATCTCTGAAATTAGTAGTAGTATTTTAATGTTTAATAATTATGTAATAATATTGACTTGGGAAAACATAAAACATTTGTTGTTACTATCAACTAATTAAATCCTATTATACAATGTATAATTTTTTAAATCCATTTATACTATAAATTTCTCAACTTCTTAAAATTCATATAGTATGATTTTAATTATTTTAATGTACAAAATTATATCTAAATTTTTCATTTATTTATCTTACCATAAATAATTTTATTAGAGTTAATACAGTGAACCCTGTTTATTACAGAAAATGGAATAGGTCTTGTTACAAATTATTATATTTATTGTATAGGGTATGTTGTTAACTTTTCTAATACCCTAATATTTCTTTGGTTTCATATAGTTGTTTCTTGGACAGTTTTTCCTTTATTTGTAAATAATTATCCTGTTTACCTTATGTTATATCTATTATAAGTGTAAAAAACAAACATATAACTATAGTTAGTTCATTATTATAATGTGTGCACTTTTTAAAAATAAATTATAATCTAGGATGATAATGTACCAAGCCCTTTACCACTTGGTGTATCTGTAATTGATGCATCTGTTACCTTATTTGGATTAATTTTTCCTCGTGTGGCTAATAAACATAGAATTCAAATGATTGACCATTTCACCGATCAAATAAAATACTCAAAATCATGTCGATGTGATGCTATTTCTACCAATATTTTTGCTTCGCTATTAGCTGGTCTAAAAGCACTTTCAGACACAAAATCAACAATAGGTCATGAAGAAATTAAAACTACTACAGCCACTCTAATAATGGTATTATATTGAATTCTTGATTACATTTTTAAAGTATTACTTGAATAAATAATAATAATTTTATGTTTATATCAATATTATATTTATATATTGTTATTTCGTTTTTATTAATAGTTAATCATTCCCAAATTGATTTTAATTTTTAGAATGCTTTAACAAATGGAAATACTATTTTACGTGTGGCTGCTGCCGAAAGTGTTGGGCGTATGGCTCAGGCTGTTTCAGATTCAAGATTTACTGCTATGCTTGCACAAAATAGTTTTGATCGTCTTCGTTGTGCTAGGGATGTTCCTAGTAGAACTGGGCATTCTTTAGCTCTTGGCTATTTACATAGACATGTAGGTGGTATGGGATCTTCTCATCATTTAAATACTAGTGTAAGCATTTTGCTTGCTTTAGCTCAAGATACTACATCACCAATTGTTCAGGTTAGTTTTAATATTATAATGTTATACTTTCAAATTGGTTTAAAATATGTTATTTTTCATACCTGCTTTAGGTCTGGTCCCTTCATGCTTTATCTCTTATAGCCAATTCAGGGGGCCCAATGTTTAGAGGTTATATAGAACCTTCACTATCATTGGCTCTAAAATTGTTATTGATAGTTCCACATTACCATGCTGATGTTCATCAATGTATTGGAAAATTGATTTCTGCTCTTATCACTACTATTGGACCAGAATTACAAGGTAAACAATTTATTTTATTATTTATCAAATATTACATGCATTTGTCATATGAATTGAGGTTTCAGAATGAGTACAAATCTCCAATGATCATTTTCTGGCTATAGAACTGATTATATCTGATTGGTCAATAATAGAGGTTAAAACATAAAATATATGTAAATATTTTCTTATAAAACTGTGTAATTTATATTTAGCTATTATAATTTAAATGCCATTATTATACTTACATTTCAAAAAAATATAAAAAATTTTATTAGTATTATTATACTTATACATATTTATAATTACAGATGTAGTCAAAATAATAAAATTTACCAGTATATTGTCAATTAAAAATATATTTTTTTTTTTGTAATATTTCAAATAAACCTTGCTATTTAGTAATAAATTAGAATTGTGAGATACACTTTTTATATTATTTCAGATTGCACATTAAGTCATTCATTTTGTTTATAAATATGGAACTTTGACACTGAATTTGAATAAAATCTAATATTAAATAAATTTAGTGTACTACTATTATTTATACTTTCATAGTTTTACACCAACAATTGACTGAATATCTATCATAATTAGATAGTACAACTGAATAATTTTTTGAAATTACTTATTAATTTAATCTATGCTTTTGTTTTAATATTAAATTATATTAAATATATTATATATGTAAAAACTTTCCTGAAATAGTTTATACCAATAATTGATAATTTTCCTTTTCTTAAATTATATTTTTAATTTTTATGTTATGATTTAGGTAATTCAGCATCAATTACAACTGCACGATCATCATTTCTATGTGCATGTGCTATAATGCAAGATCATGAAGATCCATTAGTTCAAGCGGAGTCAACTGTTTGTCTTCAAGAATTGCATTTATTTACCCCACGACATGTTAATTTGACTGCATTAGTTTGGACTTTATGCGTGAGTATTATAATTGTATTTACATTTTTTTTCTAGGTACTCTGCGTTTTTCACACCTTTGTTGTGTAATTGTGACAATTCCACAAAACATTTAAATAAAAAAAAGTTGTTCTAACTAGAAACATTATAGATATGTATATATATTCGAAAAACATGGCAAATTTTAAGTTTTATAGATACTATTTAAATTATTTCAAACTACAACAGTTTTTGATATATAATGGGACATTTTGTTTGCATTACTCATGTTGCACAAAAATGAGTGATATTGTTTTTTAGTATTTATTTAAATATACCATAATGTATTAGATACAAGATAATATATTTTAATAATTATCTACTTAAATTATTTACAGCAAAATTTATCAAACAGCCATTTAATTTTAAGAAAAGCTGCAGTGTCATGTTTGAGACAGCTGTCACAACGAGAGGCCAAAGAAGTTTGTGAAATAGCAGAATCATTTGTTAATTCTCCTAAAAACAATAATTATAATGGTAACTAATAACATTTATTCAAAATAATTTTTAGATTCTAAAAAAAAAAAAATAATATAGCTGTTACTTTTATTTATTTATGACATTTATGACTGTGGTACTCTGTAAAGATTAAATAATACTCTAAATATATGGAATACTTATTAACTCTAACATTTTATACATAATTTATCATTTTTGAACTCTTATTTATTAATTGATAAATTAGTTTCCAGTACTTATTTCTTCAGTTAATTGTCTTATTTAGTGTATTCACTATTGTAAAAAAGAAATAAATAATAATAAATCATGATGTATATACGATGTAGATAATTTATTTTAATTATATAATTTTAAGTAGAACTACCTATAATCATATCAAAGGAACTTGTTAAATATAGTTTTTTCAACCAACACATTGAACTTACCTAAACTATGGAACGAACGTGCTTCCCATAAATAATTTTTATTTCATTTACATTTATTCTTATTCATTATTCAATATTTTTTTAGGATTTTTACTCACAGAATCAGGATTACCAGGTGTTTTGTTCAATATGTTAGACACAGAAATGGATAAACAGCTTATCAAGGATATTCATGATACTCTCATTAGCATGCTTCAAATGCTGGCTGTTAATAACCTTACAAAATGGATAAATTTATGTAAATCAGTTTTAACTGTTTCTTCAGGTATTCAAAAATAGTTGAACTATTATTATTATGCTAATTGAAACATTCATATAAATAATAATTACTATTGTAATGTATTTAGAAATAAATCAAAAGGAAATAGATAAAAATGAAGGAACTATTATGAATGATGATGATGAAACTGGAGATGATCATGATGAATTTCAAAAAGATTCTAAAAATGAAAATTCAATGAAAAGAAAACAACAACCCAAATGGCCAACTAGAGTTTTCGCTGTGCAATGCATTTGTCGGATAATATCTACTTGCCATAAAGAATATGATTCTGCTCCTCATTTTAATTTGTCATTAGCTAAAGAATTGTCATTTACCAATAATAAAGGTATGATGAACTGCTTAAATTACATTTTAATCTGTTTAATAATGTTACTTTTACCGCTATTTAGGAGATTATTTGATTCTTCATTTATCTGATTTAATAAGAATGGCGTTCATGGCAGCAACCAGTGATAGTGATCAATTGCGCTTAGAAGGATTTGAAACTCTTAATGAAATCATTGAAAAATTTGCTCAAGTTCCTGAACCAGAATTCCCTGGTCATTTGCTGTTAGAACAATTTCAAGCTCAAGTAATTAATTTCCTTTATTAAACATTTAGTAATATTTAATTATTTACCCTTATTGTGTTCATTTTCATAATTTAACTTTAGGTAAGTGCTGCATTGAGACCAGCATTTTCAGATGATACTCCCAGTCATGTGACAGCTGCTGCATGTCGTGTATGTGGAACATGGATTGGAAGTGGAGTTGCACGTGATTTGAGTGATTTAAAACGAGTTTATCATTTATTAGTTACATCTCTTAAGAAACTCAACCCTGGTTTTAATATTAATTTCAACAGTTTGTATAATGAAAGTGTTGCAACGTTTGAATGTTTAGCAATACTTAAAGCTTGGGCCCAGGTTATTATTAATTTTAACGCATTATCAGTTTTCGTTTTAAAATTGAATTAAAAGTTTATTTATTTTAGATTTATATTATTGCCATGATAAATAATGGTACTGCTCCTGGAAATTTTAATCAAAATTCATATATTAACGTGAATGAAAAAAATGACGATTTTGGAAATTATGAAGGACCAAATGATAACTTGTTGACTTTAATTCATCCAGAATTAAATATGTTATCTAAAAATTGGCAATCTGCTCTTAAGGATCATGCCCTTTTATTGCTACCCTGTGGTATATATTTATCGTTTTTATTAATACATTTTTTTAAAATAATTAATTAAATAAGATTTTTAAAGTCTTGTCCATTTGCGAGAAATTTAACATTGAAGCTTATTTATTGCTACAATTCAACTGTACTCAATTGAAATTAATCATAAAATTAAAGTTGTGTCATTTTTCTGTAAATTGTTTTAAAATTTCCAACTGGCTTCATTTATGAGAACCAAGAACTACTAAAAATAACAATTTTTGACCCTGTTTTATCTACTATAAAGGCAACCACACATGTTCCGATTGACCTGTCAGTTTTGTCTATGTAGGACACCGGAAATCAGCTGGCTATTACGTCTGTGGGTTCTGGTCGCCTGAACAGTTGTAACTGTACAGGCCATCAGAGAAAATATGAAAACGCTTGTCTATCTAGCCAACTGTGGGTTATGTAGGTGTGTTGGAATGTGTGTGGATTTTGGCCGTCTAGCCAAACTGCCAATATTTAATTTAATTTCACAGTTCACATATTGATATAGTGAGTATACTATTTTTGCACTGCCAAGGTGAATTTGTGAGATTTCCTCGTAGTTATATTTTTCTTTTTAATGAATGGAGTCACTAATGAAAAAAGTTGGAAGTATGTTTCTTTGTTCATTCACAAATAATTATGCCACTTTTGGTAACAACTTAAATTCTGTCAACAGATTAATGTGAGAATATTGTTTTTTTTTTTTTTGTAACCAATTTTTACACGATTGTCTACGTTTATGTTTTTATTTTTATTATCACTTTTCATGGGTATCAATAAGTTTATAGTAGCAAGGGTGTCTTCGCTTTGGTAGCCAGGTCAATTAAAGAACTGATCTTTTTGTAATTTTATCTCTTAATAAATAACTTCATTCATAGTTCCAAGAGTGATTATATTTAGCTTATTGTCCAGTCACTCAATATTTTTTATGATTTTTAATAGTTTGGTTTTGACCAGTATCATTTTGAATAGTAAATCAAATTTATAATTTTAAGCAAAGAGATATGATATATTGTATTTTGAAATGTAATTATATTAACAATAAATAAATAATTAAAATATATTATATTTATTTGTATTGAGTATTCAAGTTTAAATAATTTTACAGAGTTTAACAGTCAACTTCCTCATGAAGGCGGAGCCTTTTATACTTCTAGTACAATTGATAATAGTAGAAACCATTATAAAAATGCTTGGCCTCCAATTTTGTATGCTTTATCACTATGGTTGAATTCTGAAGATTTTAAATTGGAAAATAGTAATATTAATAAAGAACTACAAGATAAATTTTATCTAATATTTGGTAATTTCATGTTTAAAAATCAATATTATTTAATACCATTAAAAAATATATGTTTATAATAAAATAAAATTATAATAATTTTAGGAATCTGTACTGAAGCAATATGTAATCAACGAACTTTGGAAAATATTGACAATTTTATAACTTGTCTTAAATCATTATATACTATTTTAGATTCATCATTAGCAAGACAAATTATGATGAAAAATTCTATTTTAGCTGTTGAAACATTAAATATTATGCACAAGTAATAAATCATTTTTTATCTATAATGTAAACCAAATATAGGTCTAAATGAAGCCCAGGCATCAAGTTAAAAAGGGGTGGGTAGTTGTTGGATAATAATATGTAAATCACATAATTATCATATATATTTAGGTAGAGAATTATTGATGTATGAGTTTTGAATGAGATGAATTTAAATATGGGTGGGTGGGTGGTAAACTAGACTTTGCAATTGGCATCAAAAAAATTTTTATCTCGGTACGCCACTGATGTAAACTAAATATTAATATAGAAACTGTTATATTTTAATTATATTTTATGTGTGCCATTTTAGATTACTTTTAACAACTGATAGCATAGAAGTTCAGCAGACTATTATGAACATAGTACAACAAATAGTAAAAGGTGCTCAAGAAGATTTAAAAATCAAAAATTCAAAATCTTTTAATGGTAATGGCTAATGACGCATTATTAACATTTTGTATTTTATGTTTGCCTCCTGATAATAAATTAAATAAATATAAAACATTTATAGATAAAAACCTTGAATTATCAACTACTGAAGATGTAGAATATTTAAGTGATGGTGGACAAGGTGGTATATTGGAACATGATAAAAGTATTGTATTTGCTACCTTAGAAGTTTGCATGTGTTTGATTGTTCGGCAAATACCAGATATGAATCCAACACCTTTAGTTTCTTCAACCAGAAAATTATATTCAAACTGTTTAAATCATAGTGTAATTGCTACAACATTAAATATAATGGCTCAACTTCCAAATCTTTGTTCACCCAGTGGTAAATTTGTTGTTCAATAAATAATAATTTAATATACATATAATTAATGTACAAGCATTAATAATAAATATCTAATTTACAGGTGGAGTTCAGATACTTCCAACAATTTCTTATTTAACGACTAATATACTAAAAGAATTAGGAGAAATTAATAGCTGTAATGAGACATCTAAACAAAAAGTTTCAATTGTAGCTGCTTTGGACTGTTTTCAAGTACTTTGTAAACATCCTTATGGTTATCATAAAATATCTGAAAATAAATGGAGATCTCTTTTACAAAGTACCGTTGCTAAACTTATTGATATTTCTAAAACAGGTGATAGCACAATTATTATTCTTTTAATAAGTTTATTAACTTTTATTTGATCTGTATTCAGGAGATGAAGGTAAAAAAGTTGATGAAGTAACAATGTTATCTGTTATTACAGTATTTACATTACATTCACCACCTGGTGTTATGTGTGTACAAAATATTTTATATCCTTGCATTAATTACTGCACTCAGTGTTTTGGAAGTAATAATATTGTTGTAAGTATATAATTTTTATTTCTATTACACATATTGAAAGTTAATTTTTTTTTTTTTTTACAAAGTCTTATTTATCTCGTGTATAAAATTTTAAAAACAATGATTTAAGCTAACATATTTCTAATAAATAAAACTAAGTTATTCTATGCACATTGTATTTCATATATATATATATATATATAATCATTTAATTCAAGAAATGTACTTCATACAAATATTTATTGCTTAGGTAAAAACAAAATGCATTCAATTTCTTAGATCAGTTTTTCAACTTGAAGATAAGTATATTGCAACAGGTTATATACAAGCATTAGCTCCACGTCTTATGGAATTACTGTATGAAGATATCCCAGAAACATTTGTGGAATCTCATTTAATTATGCTTTGTGAAGCAATTAGTGCAATTGAATGTTTAGTTCAGTTGGCACCACCTAAACACAGTAATGTTATAATTATTATTATCATTTAATACAAACATAAAAAGAAGGTCTTGAGTATAAATCTATTAGGTTAAATTAGATTACTCATTAATTTATCATAATATTCTTGGAATTATATTTGTATTAAGAAATTTCACTCTTAAAACTGAGATGTAGAAAATTTTAATTCATTTTATAACTATTTCAATGATCGTAGTAAATATATTTTATTTTATATTTATTATTAAATAAACTAATATTTTTTCATAATATACATAATTTTCATCATATATTAAGTATTTTGAAACTATTGATAAATTAATTTCAAAAGTATAAGAAAAATTGATCAATATCAGTCATCTTTCTTTTTTTTTTTTGTTCATGCTGATTTAGGATAATATTTATAGGTTAACATTTGAAAATATCTGTTGAATAAGAAATAAATGATAATATTAATTTTGGATTTTAGGAATTCAAATGTTATCATTGCTTGTGCCAGCTCTAATCAATGTTCTTATTGATACAGAATTGACAAAATATGATAATAATGTATCTAAATACCGGTGTAAACTTCATGAGTTTAGTTTACAATGTTTGTTGAAGATTGGACCAGTTTATCCACAAGTATTTTCTATATTCACTACAGTTTATAATAAATGTATATTTTATAATTGTTATTTTTTCAGGAATTTAAAATTATTATGTCTCAAAATAATAAATTGAGAACAAAATTAGAAAATACCATTAAAACTAATAAATCTTCGCAACAACAATTTAATGCTAACTGTCAAATACCACCAAGTATAACAAAATCAATACAGCCTTCTATAAAATTGAAAACCGATTTCACTAATTTTAGTTAACATTAATAATAATAATTTAATATTTTTATAACTATAAGGTTTTAAATATTTTAATTAGGATATTCATTTTATTGTAAAGTAATAATGAATTGTTTGATATAAATAGTTAATTATTAATAGAATCTAGGTATTAAGTTACCAATTTTATAATGGACTGATGACATCATAGTTAAAATTGAATTAATAAATTTTGTATAAAAGTAAAATAGTTGATTATTGTAAAATTATTACAATATGAACATTATTAAATGTTTTTGTAATGAATTATAAATTATATGATATGTATACTTATATAAAATGTATTAAACGTTAAATAATTAGTATATTTTAAAAACTTTTAAATTATATATTTATTACTATAAAAATAGTTTTAAAAAAATATTATAATTTATAATTGATTTATTTGTTATGTTATTAATTTGTCTCAAACAATATGTGTACTGTACAGTTGATGCTGAGCAGACTTCGCCCAATGCATTTTAGTTACACTTATGATGTGTTATTAGTTCTTAATTTTGTTTATTGTTTTATGGGTAGTAAGCTCAATCATTGTACAACATTCAAATGAAACAAACATAGTACATTAACTAATATAGAATTTTCTGTAAAAGTGTTTTTTTCTTTGCCATTATGACCCATGTAGGTATTATTTCATGTAATACTCATAATAACTTGACTGTAATGAACTTGATACTTGATAGACTATATCTGAAAACATCAAATGTACTAGGACTAAGCTACCTGCCAGAGTTTATGGTGAGAATTTAATATTTAGGTAATTATCAAAGAAAACATGAATATTTCAAACATCTTAGACAGTATAATAGGACATAATAATAGTGATTTTTCTGAACACATAAAAATCTTTTAGACCATTGTGAATTTGCTGTATACTCGATGTGACAAACATTCTCTCAAAAATCATGAAAATCCATCTTACCTAAAAAAAAAAAAAACCATTGGAGAATCCATTTTTATGTTATTAAAAAATTCACTTGGAATTTAGAAGGAAATTCGTATTTCTTTTTTTTTTTTTTGTTTAATTTCATAATTAGTAAAATTTATTCAAACAATAAAATAGCAGGAGTATAGAAATGATAATCTTATTATAGTTGTTTAAGGTTTTATCAAAGCCATTTGTGTGTACGTAAGGATACGTATGCTCTTATTATTATAGTATTTTAATGATTAATTTATAGCAGTGATGCCCAACCTTTTTCCTTTGACGGGCCACTTTGGTAAACAATTATCTTCAAGGGGGCCACAAAGTAAAAGAGTACAAAAATATTCTTATATATTGGACTTGTTTTCTTATCTTTTATGTCTATTGAAAAGATTATGAATTGAGGTATACATAATTGTATTTTTTGGAATAATTATTTATACGAATTCATAAATTTAAATAAAAATAATATATGAAAATAAATAATTTAAAAATTTTTTCATACATTTTTAAAATTTTTTTTATTTTTAAAAATTCGTAATGGGCCACATAGAATACCTTTGCGGGCCACATGTGGCCCGCAGGTTGGGCACCACTGATTTATAGCGTTATTGCTATTGCGTTCAATGTTTGCAAAGGTTGAATATCTTGATCAGTGGCGGATTCAGATAAAAGGGTGTGAGTGAGTTGCGACCCGGCGTGTTGTTTCCGGTGTTGGAGACCGGTGAATTCCGGTCCGATAATATTTTAGCCGCAAATTAGTTGCGGCCCGACAATATTTTAACTATAGGTGAGTTACGGCCCGAATAATTATCATTACCTATGTATGTACCTATTGGCTAGTAACTATATGTACGATGCGGTGTTGGCTATACACATTTAGCAGTGGCGTAGCCAGAATTTTTAAATGGGGGGGGGGGGCTAACCACTTTTTTTGGATAAGTAAGGTAAAAGAGGATATGAGAATTCACCCTTAACCCCCCCCTCCCCCACCATCTATCACCAAGTTTCTAAAAGTAATTCAAGCATTTTAGTATAGTTTTAAAAATATTTATTAATATATAGTTTATAATAATAATAATAATTTTGGTTTCAGTGTTCAGTCACTTGCTTCACTCTGACAGCTGCATTCTCTTAGGCGGATTTCTGGCAAATTCAGTTATTATTTCACTTTCATCGAATTGCTCTTTTTTATTTATACTAGCCATAGCTAACCCATTCAGTCTGTTTTCCGACATGGTGCTTCTTAAAAAAATGTTTAAGCGATTAAGTGCTGAAAACGTTCTTTCCGGAGTGAAAGAGGTAACTGGTAACGTGGGGAATAATTGTAAAAGTATTTTAATGTTAGGTCGAAGATTGGTGTGATGAGAGAGTGAATCAAGAGCAGAATTCGGTTTTGGAATAGTATTTTGACTCCATTGTTGCATCCTTATGAACAAGTTAGCTCTGATTGTAGATGAGGTATCATCATGGAGATCTTGGACATATATTTTAGCAGCTTTTATAATATTTTTATCGTCATACATATTTAAATTGGCCAGAATAAGTCCTTTAAGTGGCATAACATCAATATGCCTTTGATTAAAACGAGCATTGATTCTATTAAATAATCAAGATACATTATACATATAAACACGGCCCACGGGGGAGGCTATAGCCCCCTTAGCCCCCTTTGGCTACGCCACTAACATTTAGTGATAAACGAATAACGATAAACGAATTGTTCGATACATATGGCAAGTTATATCTTTATATAATATGGATCGTTTTATTGTATTATCTATGGTAATAATATAATATATATACATAATAATTTATAATTATTATATATTATTTTAATTATATATTATATTCTAGAAACGCAAAATATTATTAAATTAATTAGCTTATTTTTTCACACATTTTCTTTTTATTATTATTATTTTAACCAAAACAATAGCTAAAAAATGAAATTACTATACCGTCTTATTAATTTACGAATATTTTTTTTTATTTATATTCTTGAAATGACAAATATTAATAATATACTACAGTATTAGAAAATACGTAGTATTAATAAATATATATTGTGATGTTTATATACATGTACTATGTATAGTATATATTATATATGTAATATATAGATAATTGTATGGGCCGCAACTCGTACGTATCTCTTACAAACCAGGGCCGCAACTCGTACATTATTTAGGGTTTGGGCCACAACTCACCAATACCGAGATAAAAAAAACTAGGGGGTGCTTAGTTCCTATTACCAAAGTAAATAAATAAATATTTCACAATACTTTCTTAAAATACAAATTATGTTATAATTTTTTGTAATTTACCATTTTCTTAACTACGTTCGTTTATTTTACAAATTTATTTTTCTATTTTTTTTTAGAAAATATATCTTTAAATTAATTCATATATATTTCTAAAGGATTTAATTAAAAGGGTACTAAAATCAGTTGGGGAGCCGTGCCAGAGCACCGTTGCTTAGCACCCCTAAACACCATTCTTGGTCCACCATTGATCTTGATATTATATTTTGTTACGAATTATTAATGCGACACCACTTGAAATCCGATCATACGATATATTGAATAATATAGAAATAAAAGTATAATAATGTAGAATAAACAAAAAAAATTGTAGTAATTAAGAGAATCATGATTTTTTCCTCTATAAATACCATGGTAAGGATTTTTATTTTTTACTAACGTTGGTTATCGCACTGTTTTTTGTCTAAAAAAAAAAAAATACAATCCGATGAAATTTGACACATTTCAACAAAATAACCATGACAACAATTTACAATTGTTTTAGATTCTGAGTGAAACGACTAATATACACTTGTTTTACAATAACCAAAACACACATGATGATCATAGGCGGACATTTGGTTGAATTTCTGATAGGCTATAATAATTCAATGTAAAATAACCCGCATAATAAATAATGCATATTTAAAAATAATTAATATTTTATTTTAATGACAAATAACTATTAATATCAGCAAAAATATTCAAAATATCATCGCTTTTTATATATTTGATATATCTTTTTCAATAGGTATATAGTATTGAAAGATCGCTGAACTTATCTTGAACAAACGATGTCCTTAGCCAAGTTTTTATTTTTTTTCATTGTACTGAAACTTCTTTCGCAAGTAGATGAAATAATTGGTATTGTTAATGCTATTGTAAATAGTTTTTTATTATTTCTTATTTTATGATTTTTAAAAAATAGAACAGATAATTATAAAAACAACGAATAAAATTTCTAACAAAGTTTTGATTTTGGAGGGGCTATTCAAATATTTGGGGGGGCCTAAGCTCCTTCCCTCCCTATATCCGCCTATAATGATATGTATATCGAAGCTTATATACGTTTATATGCGCCTGTCTGTAAGATAAACTTATAAAACTAAAACGTATTAAAGACTAAACATCTTAATTAAAAATTATTATATTTTTATATATTACTAGCTGATCCGACAAACGTTGTTTTGTCATATAAATTTGTTCTAGAGATAATTTTGCTAGAAAAAAAAACTAATATAATATAGGTGGGTAAGGATGTGGTATATAAGTGGAAGAGGTATGAAGTGCCTTGAACAGTGATGGAATATAGAAATGAAAAAACATCAAATATTTATTTTTTTAATAATTTATTAAAATTGATCCTTTAAAATTATATATATAGCTAGTTATGAGAATATTAGTAAAAAACAATATCAATCCCTTAATGCAACAGAGTGTAAAATATTTTTTTTATCCCACCTTTCGCCAACACAAACAAACTGGATGGTTTGAAAGCACGTCTTGAGACTTATTGATATCATTGCAAATGCCAATTTAATTGGAAATTAAAGGCATTCAAATTGTATTGGCACATTTGTGGTAGTAATATATTTTCACCTCGGAATTTGCCCTTTAAAATGATGACTTCGATAAAATTTTTCATTAATTTTTTAATGACCAATCGCGTGCCGTTGCACAACCGTGGTGCGTTCAAATTACGAAGCAAAATAACCGAAGATCCAACCTTCAGTTGTAAATTATGCGGTGGCTTGTCTGGTAAATCCAATGAGTTTAAAAACTCTGTTGGACAATTTACAGCTTCATTAGCATCGCAAACTGTATCAATATATTTGTATGACACCAACTATCCTGATAACAAATGTTGTATCTTGAGATTCAATTCGTTAACGTCCCCATTTTTTGCTGTTAAAATTACTTTTTCTGCCAGCCACTTATGATTTATGTATTGTCTGTGTACATTGGGAAATATCTGGTCAATGAGAGCATTTTGCTAATCAATTATTGTGCAGAAATCGGTCGGTAATTTTATACATCCCGTTTCATTTGTAGTAACTTTCCTATCATCGATATCTAACAATTGTTTTGAGAATCTTCTGCATGTGACTTTTTTTGATTGAATCGCAAGTATCGAAATCATTCGCTCTCTATCTTTACATACATGTCGACTATGAATTGTTGACAAAGCTTATGACATCATAGAATAACGTTGTCCTGATCGCGTCTAATCATCAACCGATATGCATAATATTTTTTCGAACTAACTTTCTTGTTTGTTTTGGCACCTGTTGCGGGATTTTGTTGTTTAATATTTATGCAATACCCGTCATTTAATACCAAAAATAAAATTAATAGTTTTTTAACAATTAATTTTCAATTGCGCAGTTATCGATTGGATCAAAACTTATTAAATTGAACTATGATTTATTAAACAATAGCACTTTTCCAAATTTTTTTTTTCGTAAAAACCTTCTTGCAATTACGAACAATTAAAAAAAATTGAGCCAAATCGGCCCAGCTGTTCTCAATTGATGAAATGTTATAGATTTTTAGCTCCATTTATATATATATATATATATATAGATTTATATATTAAAAAATATAATTTATTCGTTTCCATGGCATTACGTACCATAAATAACGATGTAGGTTGTTTAGTGGTAATTTTAAAATTTAAAACACAAGACACAACACCTAGACACGAAATTTAATAGAAAATAAATTTACATGCTTTATATCTAAACAAGAAAAATGTCCGGAAAATGTTCAATCAAAAATGATAAGTTGACCGTGAACAGCAAGTTGATGTCCGCGAAACCTATGAACGAAGACGACCACGGTAATCATGGTCACAAGAGCGCCTGTAAATCAGTTCGAAATTACGATCCTTATCCAACTCAAGACCTTAATTTAGGTACCGTCTATAAGGCTGTCGAGGAAAGGAGAATCGTAATTGCTTTGTCTGTGATCCCGATAGAATTTTTCAAAACGCTTTGCAACCATGGCTGGATGTTGAAAACAAACGTACCCAATTCGAAATACAGTAAGTAATCCTTGTACCTGGTTCGCTAAATTTGTCCATGGACTATCAACACTGGCCAAAAAAAAAATAATAAACCACTTAAGTTCAAATAGTCGATGCGGCTTCATATTGACTTAATGAACTTTCACCAAGATCCAACACGAAACTCTATATTATATACAAACGTTACAAAATTAGATAATATTTTTGTTACAGCCAATAAAACATTAGGGTCACTGTATCCGAACGTAAATCTTGCCAGGACGATGGCCGAGAAACACGATGCCGGACTGATTTGGACAAACGACGTATATTCTGGTAAGGTGCCATGGTCGACATTGAAACCGTGGGTAGTGGTTAATCGGTTTCCGAGGAATGGGTGCCCTGAAATCAAGTTGTGCGGACACGGAATGGTCGGCAAACCCGAGTACGACGGTTATCATCCGCGAACGTATAAGAACACGACTGTCGATAGTGGCTTCATGGAGGACTTTGCGCTAACTGCATGTGTATCGCTACTACGGATGTTTGCCGACAAAATCGTGAAATGCAAGGAAAGTGGCAAGGTGAGGGTTTATCAAACGATTTTCCGCCTATAATCAACAGGGCCGGATTTTTATGCAAATACATATTTTTCTACAATTCACCCATTAATAATTTAGGAAATAGATATATTTATCTTTTTTATGTGAAATATGTCATATTTATCTCTGAATCAATTCTGTGTTATGGAGTAAATATACAGAGATATTAAAAATTGTCAATTTGGAAAAACCAATACTTTATAGTTTATACTTATTATGCTTTTTGTTTTATATTCAAGAAAATATGTTGTATAATTTGTTAATTTATTTTAACGTTTATTAGTTGTTAATCATACAAATACATACATAGGTGGACCCAGAGTGACATTTGACTGTGCCCTGTCATTTTTTAAAAATATAAAGGGGAGGGTATAAACACGTACGTATAGATCGTGTTATGATTTAAATTCTAAAAATAAAGGCTTCGTTAATGATGTAAAATAACGATTGATAAAAAATACATGTAATTATTATTTCAGACTTATTCTGAACACTTAAAGTATCAAGGGCGTATTTGAGTTGTGGCCACAGAAGGGGGGGGGGGCGAAACTAATTTTTCTTCAATACAAATTTAAAAATAATTTACAGTTCATTACAGGGGTGTACCAAGGGGGGGATGGTTGGGTACGGACTCCCATTGAAATTTCTACATATTCAATGGTTTAATAGTAAAGAGTACATAGTGTATTTTAATTTCTCATTATCTTCAAAGTTTATAGATTATACCTATAATATACCTATAATATATAAACCATGTTTAATTTATATTGCTTTTTTAATATTATTTATTATTGTTAATTAATGTAATATGTAATATATTTTTACAACATTTTACTACTTGTTATTTTGGTTAGTGTCAGCATAGTACATCTCACCTGATAACTTATTAAGCAAAGATGGGCAAGTTAATGAAAATAATTAACTGTGGTTAGTTAAGTTAATTCAATTAAATTGCCTTCAGTTAAAGTTAAAAGTTAACAAAAAAAAGAGTAACTCAATAAGTTAAAAATTAAGATAGAAAATAAAATTTACTTAACTCAGTTTAAAAAAAAGTTAATTTTTCTAGTATCATATGTTATACTTTTATTTATAACGAATACGCAGAATACTGAAATATAAATTATAATTTATAAATATCTCGGACGACTTTTTGTTTTATGCATTGGAATTATCGTATTTACCAGCAGGTACCTGTGTTATTAATATCCAATTTTAACTTTACACTTTTAAAAGACTATGCTATTTATTTTTAAACCTGTTTTTAGAACTACACTATAGAGTTAGACTAAACAAAAATTGTATTATTCAATACCGAATAGATCATTAAATAGAACTCGTGAAAATAGCAAGTCTATACAATAGATAGAATATTAATTATTACTATTTACTATAGTATATATAGATTAAAATATAATTTGATTATTATGAATTGAGTATATTATGTTATTATATTAGAAAAATAAATTACCAAAATCGAAAGAATAAGTTTTGTTTGATGGTTCCGCATGATGAAAAAATTAACTTAACTGTACAATAATGATAATTAACTGTAAAAAGCTAAGTTACAGCAATAAAAAAATTAACTGAATAAGTTAATAAGTTAAAAACAAAAATAACTAGTTAAGTTAAAAAGTTTAAAAAAATTAACTTTTTAACTTTTTAACAAGTTAATGCCCACCATTGTTAATAAGTATGTATATATTTTTTTTTGTATAGAATACATCAATTCTATAAATAATTTAATGGTTTTTTTTTAGTTGCATTCTGATAAAAAAAACAGTACAGCATCAAAACTAACTAACTAATTTTACATTTGTAAAAATTGTTAATGATCACATTAATCGTTAATCTCAATTGTATGTTTAAATAATTAGGTTAAGTTATTAGTAAATACCATAAGTAGGGCTATGGAGTTTTTGTTAATCTAAATTGGCAATTTAAATTTTTTTTTTAATATGAGTGTCATTTTCATGCAATATTAAAATATTTTTATATCATAAAATATTAATTAAAAATTAACATAATTTCAAAAATAAGTACAAAAATGAATAATTTTTTAAAACATGCATAGACCTAAAAATATGTTGTACTCTAGAGTAGATAATGTAAATTATGTTCAATGTTCATTTAATTTTTATTAATTTATCTAGGGTAGTGGATATGTTAAGTGTTAATATTTTTTTATTAGGTATGACCTTACCCAAATCCTACAAAAATTTACATTACGGAAATTTTTTCATGTTCTAGTAAAATTATTAATAACTAATGTGTTTATTGCCTTTGATAGTTTAGTATAGAATTAATGTCCATTATTTGGTCTATTCACGCACAAGACAGTTTTAATATAAAATGTTAATCATACATTATACAAAAAAATATATCCCAGGATACCTTATAATTATAAACAGAAAGTCGGGTAGGCACGATGTACAACGGGTTCTAGGCCTATAACCCTGCATCAGATTAAAAATACAGAATTCACTTCCTTGATGCACAAAACATTGTAATACCAGTCTGATGTAGGTTATTTGTCATGACACTTAGTTTGTGTAATCAAAATAACTTACCTATACTATTATTTTTTTTTTAGTATACATAGATTGATTTGTAATTATTTATTTTTAATGAAAAGAAAACCTTAAATGGGAGGGGCATTGTAAAAATGTATAATTAAAAAAAAAAAAAGTGTGAATAGACTCTTACCTACTTTAGTCTTAGCTCTATACCCCAAATCCAAGTTCATACTATGTCCTATACATTTATATCTTCATTATTTATGAATTCTTCTTTTTCTTGTGAGTTACAGCCTTCAAGACCATCCCTGCAAACAAATTTGCCGCCATCTTTCTCTATCTTCTGCAACTTTTCTCCACTGTATATTTGGTTCTACTGCCTTAACATCATTTTTGATACGATCCTCCCATCGTAAACGCGATCTTCCTAACGGTCTTTTCCCAATCGGATTTTCTTTAATAACCATCTTAATAAAATAACCCTCTTTCCTCCAAGCATGTCCAGCCCACATAATATTCTCCTTGTAATTTCTACTATAATATCTGGTTTTTGAAACAAGTTCTTCAGTTCATCACTATTTATGAATTATTTTTCTAAATACATAGAAATTGTTGGTTTAATTTATTTTAAAATGAAAAAATTTTATCTGTTTAATCTAATCATTTACTATAGTAATTAAGATACACCATATCGTTTTAAAAAAAAATATTTAATTTGTAATTTACTAGTTATAACTCATCAATCCAATATAGAAATATAAATTATATTAAATAAATACATATGTATTCATAGGTGGCTCTACGGGGTGTGTCTTGACACACCCTAATGTGAATAATGTGTATAAAAAAATTGAATAACTACAGTTAAGAATATATGTGTATACACATTAATTAAATTTTAGTTTTTGGTAAGTAATACTGCACAAGGGTGTATTTGAGGGGGGTGCGAAGGGGGGCATTCGCCCACACATGTCTCGTATTTTTTTTTTAATATAATCCATTGTTTTATTTTAAAAAATATAATGTATAAATAATTAAGAATATAAATTACTAGTTTATCATTATAATATGATAATACATTCAATAATATAATATGTCAATAAGGTCACGGGTATCAATTTTTGTTTATCTTCTTATATCATAACATTTTTGGTTGTGGAACGAATAGTGGTATTATCTTCCACGGATATTGCTACGATTATAGACATTTATAAACGTCCCTGAACTTGCCCCACCCACTTACCAATTAATGTACAAAATCTGTATCTACAGTTAGCAAATTGTTAGCAAATGATAGCAAATTGATTTTCAGAGTTAGCAAATTGTTCATTTTTTCTTTACAATCAATTTATGTTTGGGTGGGCCAAGTTCATGTAGCCTACCCACTTTACGTTATCAGCACAAAATGCATGCCAAAGGTTAGCAAATAGTTAGCAAATGATAGCAAATTGATTTTCAAAGTTAGCAAATCATTATAACTTACCTAAAAAACGTTATTTATATGGATTATATGATTTATATGCCAAGTTCATGTTAGGTTAATACGCAAATGGTCATGATCTTAACTTGTGCCGAATATAGTTGTTTGTTTACTCGAGACATACAGAGCGTTGATATTGTGCTTTAATTTTGACGTTATAGTGTTTTATAGTATATTTTGTATTTTTTTTTTTTTCGTATTCGATGTTTTAACTTTTAATATTATAAAAACTAATTATAATTAATAATGCTATTATTGTAAATTATATTATTATTTGATAATTGATTGTGTATGGATGGTTAAAAAAGGTTATTATTATTTGAGCACGATGTACAACTGGTAAGTGATATCGTCGGCTATCGCCTAACCTGCGCGAAACCGTACCTTTCTCTCGCAGAAATGAGTATATATGCTGATTTGTGGTACCTGATATTTCCCCAAAAAAAAAAAATATAAAATCGGTAAAAGAATAATTTGAAATGCTTATTCTCTTCGGAAAAATACTGAGACCTCAATTAACCCAATTCTACTTTCATAGTGTCATACGATTGTTTTAGGCAAGATTTCAGTTTCGCACTTAGCGGTGGTGCAGGGAATGCATTGCAACCCCAAAAGCTCTCATGTATAAGTTTAAGGAGGCCCCCAAACCTTTATGGTATGATTGTTAAACTCAAATCAAAAATAGGAGCCCCCCCCCATAATATGACTTGCACCGAGAGCCCCAATTCCTTAGTTGTGGCTCTACAAAAGTTAGTTAATCTTACCAAATTAAGAAATCACTAACCCCAATGTACAGTGTATAATAAATAGTACCTATCGGTAGAAATAATAGCTAATTCACCCTTAATCCCAATGTTGTTTTTATTGGTTAGTGTAGGTTAGGTTTTGTTAGTACTAACACGGTTAATTTTAAAATTTATACCGTAAAGTGAGTGTAAGATTGGCTACCTGAACTTGGCCCACCCATATGAATAACGTTTTTTAGGTAAGTTATAATGTTTTGCTAACTCTGAAAATCAATTTGCTATCATTTGCTAACTATTTGCTAACTTTTGGCATGGATTTCGTGCTGATAACGTAAAGTGGGTGAGCTACATGAGCTTGGTCAACCCAAACTTAAATTGATTGTAAAAAAAAAAAATGAACAATTTGCTATCATTTGCTAATAATTTGCTAACTGTTGATACAGATTTTGTACACTAATTGGTAAGTGGCTGGGCCAAGTTCAGGGACGTACATTTATAACCATAACCGATGTATTTATCAGATAATATAAAGTAATTTAAAGTAACACTTTTTTTACCATATATTTACTAGTTAGTCATTTTTTGATGCATTTATGTATATTGTATATTTTTGTATTTATTAGAGCTATATAAGTCCTTAATAATTTTATTCGTCTAATTTTTTTTTACAACATAATATCTGGTATTTTTTGTTGTGCACAAATGCATGCATATCTATGTACTTTATAGAGTTAGAAGCCCCTAACCCAAATAATAATCATAACAACTGACAATATTTATTCCCATATTTTTTAACTTGCAAATAATGGCCAAAAATATATTTTTGTAAATTGAAAACATGGTTGAGATCAAGAATAGGTTAGCATTGACAAACAAGTTTGGATTTGCTGCATGTGTATAAAAATATTATAGTACCTATTGATAAAATAATTAACAAATTTGCCAAAATGAAAAAAAGAAATTTGAATTTTCTATAAACTTAAATTAAGTTACCTATTTTTATTGTTTTTTGAAGTTTTTAAAAAATAATTAATAAGTACTATTACTACTATGATTATTTGTTGTTTTTTTTATACAGGATTCAGACTATTTGTGTTTTTATTATTAATATTCATTTTATGTGTAGTAGGTTTTAAATATATTTATTAAATAAATATTTAATTTAATTTAGTACTTGTATTTTTATTTATTCACTCGAATAAACAACACAAACATAAGCTGTAGGTAATGGACCAGAGGCGTACATAGGAATTTTTAGGGGGTCCAACATTTTTATTTTATCTATTCTCTAATTATAATTATAGTTTAATTCAATACCAACAAATTGCTGTTAATAACTATAATAATAGTCACAATTATTATACACACATCACACATATTCTTCACAAAGATTTACTATAGTAGGTAGGTACTATAATTTTAAATCAATTTTTATTTGGTAATAAAATGTTGTAAAAAAATATATTACATTACATTAACTAACAATAATAAATAATATTTAAAAAGCAGTATAAATTAAACATGGTTTACACATTTTAGGTATATTATATAATCTATAAACTTTGAAGATAATGAGAAATTATAATGCACCATATACTATTAACTATTAAACCATTGAGTAAATAGTAAATTTCGATGGGGGTCCGTATCCGAACCCCCCCCCCCCCCTCCCCCCTTGGGTAAGCCTTTGTAATGAACTGTAAATTATTTTTAAGTTTGTATTGAAGAAAAATTAATTTTGCCCCCTCTCCCATAGCCTCAACGCAAATACGCCCTTGATACTGCAAGTGTTCAGAATAAGTCTGAAATAATAAATTATTTTAAAATTCCTAATACTTCCAGGGAAATTAACTGGTTCACGATAAAAAAATCACTCTGTATTTTAACTTAGAATTGGTTTTGTTTCAAAATTATCATAATATTTTTTTTTTTTTTTTGTTAATTCAGAATCTAATGAATTTTTTAGCTTAGAATATAAATTTTGTTTACATATTTTTTAATATTTTTGTGTATAAATGCGCATATTCAACAATATTTTTTACATAAAAATCCGAGCTTTAATAATCACATACAGCACCACCGATATCATATTATTTTCCTCGATATTCTTTTATCTTGTCCAATCTATTATAATACGAATTATTTTTTAAGTTTGTTCACCTTGAAATACAAACAATCCTATGTATGCGAAAATGTTATCTTTTAATACAACCGGAATTTTTAATAACACATAATATATGCATAAAAGAGAATTTTTTATTTCTATATTCGATATTGGTTTTCATTTGCTTTTTCGAGTTCCAAACGCATATTGTAAGTCTTGTCTGCTGAGGTGTATATATAATTCGAATCTCATGATTTCAACCTTACGCACTGCTGCAGGTTCCTCTTTCGGCACTTCGTTTCGCCGTGGAAAAATGCAGTGCATACATAACCGACGGGAAGCTAATGGATTTCATTAGGGGCGCAAATTCGACCGAATGGAAAACTTTTTTCCACAATTACCGAAAGATCGTCAACGGAAAACGTAATTTCGCCGTGTCGAAGTCAGACTACGCAGAGTTGCGCTATTTGAAAACGACTACCCGAGACTTGGTGGAGGAGATGAACGGTTTGAGACCGCAGACGGTGAAGATCGACGGGTACAAGAACATTTGGATACTGAAAAACAAACGGCCCGCGACGAGCGGCTCAATTCTGTTCAACGACGTGGAGGACGCTTTGAAGCACTGCCCCGCGCTGAACAGCGGCAGCGACGATTACGTTGTGCAGAAGTACATCGAGACGCCCCTGCTGAATGACGGCCACAAGTTTATGTTGCACGCGTGGCTGGTAATTTCCACTCTCGACGGCTGTCTGTCCGTTTGGCTGTATCAGACGTGCTGCATGCAAACAAGCGTGTACGAATTCTCGCTGGACCTGAACGGACACAGGTACTCGCCCAACGCTCATCTGATGCAGAAGCTCGACCGGATACACTCGACAACGTGTACGGTCGGTGTGCAACGGCTGAAGCACAGGTTCAACACCATGGCGGGCGGCGGCCGCGGCGTCGTGGCCGTCAGCTCGAGGATCAGATCGTCGATCGTGTCGGCCGTTACGGCTACCGCGAACGCAGGTACCGTTCTCAATCTGCGTCCCAATTGCTTCGAGCTTTTCCAAGCCACGTTCGTAGTGGGAAACGATCTACAGCCGTGGTTGATCAACATCAGGTCCGACCCGACCCCCACGCACTCGTTCAAGTTCTCGATGCAACGCACCGAGAGCGATATAGCGAAGAACATGGCCAACATGATTGTTTGCAAAAAACGCGCGTCCAAAAATCAAATCGGAAAATTCGAATTGCTCCATGTGGGCTCGATACCGAGAAAAGAGTACGAGCCGTGCGCGTTCGTCGTAACCTCGGTCCCTAAGAAATCGAAATACAACAACTGTGGAAACAATTATGATTACATTGAAAGTTTTCCATCCGAAGATTCCGACCGTAGTGTTGCGCATTCGGACGACGGTTCTGAAAACGATTCGGAAGTCGATTTCGAAAATGACCAAATTCAATTAAAGCAATTTGAACGTATGTTTGATGGGAGGAAAATCAAACCAGAATTATCGGAAAGTTATTTCCGTGCTTTGGATGAAATGAAGTTAAACTTGGACATAATTAAAAAATATTGCATTAAAGAGCATCTGCACTAAAATTTACCAAGGAGCTTTGTAAGCTTATGCATACAATTTCATGTTGTTATTGTGTCAGTATAATCCTAACAAAAATACTCTGTCAGCTCCGTGTAAAAAACACCAAGTGAAAAAAACTTAAAAGGTAAATGCTATAAAATGTGTGATGTAAGGTGGAATTAAAACTAATGGTCTAATGTGTAAAATATATATATATATATATATATAAATAATTAATCCAAATTTAATAAAAATCGGTTATTTATATTTATTTATTATATGAATTATTTTAACTAAAATTAATCCCAATTAATTTACTTGGCTGGAATTGTATTTATTTATTTTAATGGGATCTGCATTTTTTATTACATAATATTTAATACTTGGCTAAACATTTAAGACTGAATATTCTAGACAAGTAAATTAAATTTACACTAATTTTAGTTAAAATAATTCAAATAATAAATAAATATAAATAATCAATTTTTATTGAATTTGTATTAATTATTTATGTATACATTTTACACAGACCGTTTATTTAGATTCCACTTTATATCACAAATTTTATAGCATTTATCTTTAAGTTTTTTTCGCTTAGCGTGAGTTGACGGAGGGTTTTTGTTGGGATATCATTAGTTATTTAGTATAATTAATAAAATTAATATAATAATATTAATAGTATATAGTATAATTTTTTTGAGATGTTAAATATCGTTTAAAACAAAGATATATTTTGTTTCATATAGTTCAACACCCATTTTATAACTCGATTAGCAATACACCTACCTTTAACTACCTGCATTTTTAATTTACCAATTAATCTATTAATACATTTTTCAATATTTTCGTAAAATGGAATTTTATCAGGATTTTTAAGTGCATACATATTTTGGTAGTTAATAGTGTATATAATAGTATATAATAGTGTTAATAGTGTATAAACTTCCGGTCCCAAGTTATCATTTTATTATTTTCTGTTGGTCACAGTATCGTTTATTAAACTATGCAGTGACGTGTCTATGGAAGGGCATGGGTATTGATGTGCCGTGGGTAAATACCCAATGGGTAGGTAAATATTTTGGGTATTTGCCGGGTATTTACCCACTAACCAAAAATTTAGGTAAATATTTTTTTTTTAATCTGATCAAACTGTATATTTCTATTTTTTTTTAGATTATATACAATGGATGGAGTCATACAAATAATTTGTGAAGCCAACATAACAGTAGGACCACAGTGATATACGCATGCTCATGGCATCTTTTCAATAATTTTTGGTGCAAATATTAATTAATTGATTATTGAACAAGATAACGATTAACTATTAAGTATAAGTGTTTGTTAAGTTTCAAATTGCATTATTATAATAATATAATTAATTATATTGTATTTGCTACGTCAAAATGATGATCAATAACAATGTTTCGTAAATTTAGAATTAGTGATGCCTAAATTCAATTTTAAGCCGAAAAACAGATTGACATTTGATAAGCATGTGCGCATGCGCAGATGTCACCGGTCCTATAGTTATGTTGACTTCAACCATAGAGTAATATTACTCTAAGACTTCAACTCATTCTATAGGTGTGATATGCGATGATTCTATCCATTGTATATAATCTAAGCTATTTTTACTACTGATAGGTTTCGATATCATATAACTGATACTACAACCATTGATTATAGAATAGATCTATTCTATAATCAATGCTATAACCAAGGTGGACAACAATATTAGAAATTTCAATATTACTGAACCATAATTTCTGAATGAACTACAATGCAATCATTTTTTTATTTCTTCAATAGTATAAACGATCAGCACAATAAGAGTGAGTTAAGTTAAATAATGGCAAATAATAATATTTTGGTCCAGTAGACAAGTTTTCTACTGTATGTTGCATATTTAATTATGCTTCTATTTGGTAATATTTCATTTCATTGAGCATGCCCTGAGTCTATATAATATCAAAGGTTTGTGCATTTAATTATCTCAACAATTCTGTATCATATGCAGAATACTATGCTATTTTAAACGCAAGCCATGGTAATTTGTAAAAAAAAATTTAATTATTGACTCCCACCTCGCTTTACTGACCAAATGATATTTTTACAAAAGGTTGCCTTCCTTATAATTTAATTATAGTAATTCAATCTATCATGAGGGTTGAACTATTACGGTTAGGTCACCATCCAGGATAGTATACAGCATTTCAATAACTATAATAATTATTATGAATTTACTGTTCATATTAATACATAATCTTAATATATATTTTTCTGTTGATAAATACATAATATGTTTATTTTTCATGTCTGGTAAATTTATCTTTACGAGTATATACCATAAGCCATACACTGTACGTAAACTGGATACCGCTATGGATTTTAGCATGTCTTGATAAAATATCTTTATTCATAAAAGATTTCACGCACACTTCGTATTTAAAAATATTAGACGTTAAAAATAACACAACGGTAAAACAAAAATAAAACGTTGCGATGAACATAAAAAACTAAAGAATAAAAACACGAAATGAATAAAAACGCATACGTGTGTAATAGGAGACTAAAGGACGCATTTCGATTTCAAATGTAGTAAGAACTCATAATTTTAGACGATTTCACTAATTTACGGAAAAATTTGTAAAACAAGTTCATAGGGCGATAAATCATATTTCTCTAATAATATAATACTTCATATACAATATAATATTTCCGATTTTTCATGTGATTTAGTATGCATTATATACATATATGATAAGAAAATAGCTTTCTATTTATTTGTTAAGTTTAGTCTTATGATTATCTCATGATAGTCTAATGATTCTTTTTTGTTATCAATGTTCTATAACTTACACATGAAGTCGCTAACATTTTAGGAAATTATGTGTACTCATTAAGCGTTAATTGCAGGGCCATTCCGAAATGGGGCCTTGGGGGTGTCTTACCCCCCCTCCCAAAGAAAACACCCGTCGACGGTCGGCTTGTTTCATTATAATCTAAAAGGACTTAATTTTACTTACGGAAAACAAATATTACATATTTCGTAATACAGTGTATACACGAATAAAATGTATAGAACTACTTATTATACAATATAAAATATTATTATATATAATATATATAATTAAATTGTCAATTTTAAGAATGTGCGATACTAACACATATATACATGTTAAAAAGTAAAAATACAACTACATATAGTTAATTATATTACATACATTGAGTAAAAAAATTGTAGTCGGCATTTTTCATATTATTCACCCTCCTTGATTTTCATCTTCAGGACGGCCCTGGTTAATTGTGTTATGGTTGTAATAATTTTAAATACCTAGTCTTATATTATTCTACATAATAACATTTTAAATAATGATATATGTATGAAGGGAAGGAGAAATGTGCTTTTAAATGTTATCATAATTTTAAATTATATAACATTTATAAAGTCTTAAAATAACATTTTAAGTGATATAATTTCACTTTGGTAAATAATATACGTATGAGGGGAAGAATAGAATACATACTATTTGTAGTAAAACATCAAATACTATATATTTTCTACCAACACATTTATTGTATCAAAAGCTTCATTTATTAAAATTTACTTAATAATTAATACTTATGTATAAAATAATCACATTTTATGGACGGATTAAGTGTAAAACTTGTGCTTTAAACATAGCAAAAATTAATTAGAACATTTAATAAAATAATATAAAAAAAGAACTGAATCAGTAAGATACATTAAAAATGGACTCTTAAAATATAATTTTAAGCAATCTTAATTCTATATTATTATAAACTTAAGTATACTTAAGGGTATAAATAATATTCATTATTAACTAAGTTTCAAAATAAAAAATTCAGTCAAAATGAATTGAGATTAATTAAAAAATAAAATATTTGGACGGTTACACAACAATACAGTTCTACATTCTTTTGACATTAGCAAACTAGATATGTTATTATTTTATTATTGATAGAACTGATAATTCTAAATTTAATTTGGAACTATTTAGCCCACATTAATAAACTACAAATGACCAATGCCATAACAAAAAAGACATTACTTAAAGGAAGGGCAGCTCCAGCTATACGACATTTGAAAGTATCGTACCTAAGAAGAACAAAAAAGTTGTTAATAATTTTATACTTGAACAAACAAGTAGACACTTAAATACCGTGTTTTATTATTATGAAGCATATGCATGAACTCATCTTCCATCATTTGACCATCAAAATAAGTAAAATCTTCTTCCTCAAATGGAAACTCGTAGCCTTGTATACATTCACATTTATATCCACCAGTTTCATAGCCACGTCCCTGAATAGGTACACACTAAAAACACATTTTTTAATAATTAAAATGTAGTATTGTTATAATATTTAGAAATTTATAATTATAACTTAAAAATTGTTTATAATAATAATTTACAAATAAATATAATTAATTAATCATAAAGATAAAAAAATTATATAATATATATCATTAATAATAAAATTAATATCACACTCAGGATGTTAACCAGACTTTAATATAATGTAGTATTTTTTTTTATCTGAACTATTTTAAAATTGGTATGTTTGTAATTGAGTTTTTGCAAACAAAAATACATAAAACTACCTATTATTTTTTAATGATAGTTATTTGTATAGATTTTTCAAGACACAAATTTGGCTACCACATTAATAATAAAAATAAATAAATAAATATCTAAATAAATATTTCTTAATATTATGCTAGTAATCAGTGGTTGTTAACTTTTTTAAAGCAACAAGCCATAATCACAAATAGAAAATATTAAATTATGATTTTCTTTAGCACATAAAAAGTAATACTACAATTTAAAAATAAAATATTTATGTAAAAAAATTTTCTTTTTGAAGCATAAATTGAGTCACATGAAGTAAATAGTTGCAAAAGTGGGCTATAAAAAAATCTCCTAAATTTTTTCATAATACTTAATTAATTAAAAAACAGATAATTTTTTTATAGTTAGTTCACACTAATAGAGAAAAAAAAACTTAAAATAAATATTATCTTACATATGAACTACGTTGATCACATTTATGTGTTCCTTTAAATGCATTAGGTTCATAGAATTTGTGTGGACATTGGTTTATATCAAGACTTAAAAGTGGCATCGTAACTGCAATCGCTCCTCTGAAAACAAATATTATAAATTAACAGTGTTGTTTCATAGACATAATTTTATTTAATGTAAAAACTTACTTAAATTCTAATTTAACCTTAAGACTATCCCAACCAAAAAATGGAACAGAATAGCGAATAAACCAATCCTTAGTTGGACCATTACAATCATAAAAAGGTGCTGACCAATATCCATGATCCACATTTGCAGCTCTATAATATAATTCAAATTTTGTACATAATAATATTATGTTATGTTATAGTTATAATACTATGTTATAGTTTTATTACCTATAGTAAGTAGGATAATAATCAAATTTATTCAAATGATTTCCATCTTCAGTATATCGTAATTTTAACTTTACATAATATTTTTCTAAACTATCAAAGTTAGTAGACCACCGTTGTTTTGTAAAAGTAAACCAATCTTTATTTATATAAACTTCATCTAAAAATTAAAAAAAATCATTTAATTGATATTGAATAATAATAATAGATTTAAAAATTAACCTGTCTTGTTTAATCTGGCTAAATCTTCTACAAAGAATTTACGACCAAAATTGACTGTTTTATAAGCATATGGAGCAAAAAGAGTACGATTAGGAAATTTATTTGTATCCCAATATGTGCCAGCTGACCAAATTTTGAAATCTGCCATTACAATTGCTAATGTTTCTCCAATCATTTCATCTTCTGATAAATGCTTATCAGCTAAACGAGTACCAGAGTAAACTTCTTTTGGATCAGATATCTAAAAATAAATATTTTAATGTTTATGTATTAAGGAAAATTACTATTTAAATAAAAAATGTATTACTTGTAAAAATGCACTAATAAAATTAGCAAGTCGAACAGCCATTTTTGCTTCATTAGAAAATTGTTTATGAGCTCCGAATCCATAATCACCTAAGAGTTCCAAATCTTCCTTTCGGTACCTAAAAATGTCAAATTATAATAGGGTGAAGATTTATTATTTAATATCTTACTCATGACAATTGTTTGGGTTCACTCCTCGTATCGCATTAATAACTTCATGGATATTAATATGAGGATCTTTCACTGAACCCAATCCAGGAGTGAAATTTTTGTACTCAGAATTTTTTTCTAAATATTGCTCACGAAGATATGGATCTAATTGACTTGGAAACACTATTTTACTTTGAAGCCCTTAAAAAAAAAAAAAAAAAAAAAACTTAAGGTATAGAAACATAAAATGAAATTAGTAATATATTTAAAATTTTAAAACCAATTCCAATTAAAATCACTTAAGAAATATAAATAAGTTTTAAACTATCATATAACATTTAACATTGTTATAAGTATAAATCAAATTACTTACATCCAATCTTTTTGCAGTCAAATACTCCACTATAGTACTGTTCAAGTGTTGACCGCTCTATGATTTCTCCAAGGAATGGTCGACGTACTGTATTTCCTAATCGATAACCAGGTAAACATCGACACTGATAACCACCTCTTCGAAAACCCCATCCATCTAATGGTTCACACTAAAATATAAATTTAAATAAATTATAATAATACAAATTATTTGGTTCTTTATTCATCAAATAATTACCAATGTAGTCTCTTCTCTACATTTTGCTGTATCTGCAAAACGGTTAGGACCAGAATTTCCAGCACTTATTTTACATTGATTTATATCTATCCGTTCAAAATCCATTTCTATTACTGATACAGCAGTATAACTAAAATCACAGAATAAAATGAATTAACTTAATTCAATATAATTTTTAAACAAACATACGTAGGGTATTCAATGTGTCTGAATCCAGTGTGTCGAGGATAAATGTCGGCAATTGGAACAACAGCTGCTACTAACCACTTGTTACTACGTCCACAATCAAAATATGGCCTGGTCCATTTAATTGGACCCGGAATGTCATCAGCCCCTTAGTTAACAATACATAGTATGTAATGACAATCATCTAAATAATTATTAATGAGATCATAAAATATTATTGATATCAAATTTACCTGGTGGACCATGAAATGTATGTGTTTCATTTGTATTATTGGCATAACGAATCTCTACTTGGTAAGTAGTCTTAGTATCATGTCGTCCTACAACGTTATCAGGAAGCCATTTAGAATACCTAAAATACAATATATTGTTATAATTTATAAATCTAATTATATTTTTTTATTTAAAATTGAACCAAATAAATACTCACCATTCATTAATTCCATAATGTTTCGATGTATAATCTTGTGTAAGACTTTCATTAGAAAATGCTCCCAAGTCTCTTACAGTAAATGTATTTAGGGTTGAAATCTTTTCTAAATGTATGGGATCGTTGAAGTCGTCAGCTCTAAATATCAATAAAATCTAAGTTTTAAATGAATTTCATTTTGTATAAAATCGATTACCTAAATGTCCTGGGAGCAAAATAGGGAAGTGTTTTATTGAAAAATCCTCTGTATGATGGCGAATAGGACATATTGGGCGCAAAATATATGGCACTAGCATTTATGTGAGAATTAGCTGATACATCAGCGACCGTCGATAAGAAATAATACATCATACCAGGATCATATGTATCATTAATTGCAGGTCTTATAAACCTGGCTTGTGATATGTAACTGTAGAAGAAACCTCGGTTCAAAGCCATATTGCTTAAATGCAACAAAGCGGTACGATTTGGAAACACAGGATTGATAGAAATATCTTTAATGTCTGGTATATGCGACACGGTGTCTTCAGGCAAATAAATCTCACTCAATGGTTGAATACCACAATTATCAGCAGTAATTCTGTCTAATCTGTGACGGATTTCATCCACTGCGTCTTTTGGCTGCCATTCGTACTGGGCGTTTGTCCAGCAGACAAACAAAAACAATAAATACGTAAACAGAAACATTTTTCAAAACAAGACTACCCGATTATTGGACACACATTTCTTAACGATTATATGCACACACAGCAATTGAATTGAAAAGTAGAATTTAATTTTAATAAATTTTTAATGATTAATAAAACGATTATTTATTAAAAAATAACGTTAGTACTGGTAAAAAAAAAACATTTATTATGAAAAATATTACGATGGTGGATGAGGAATTTTTGAATTCAATTGGGTGGAGTTTTGGTAATTACCAATAATATTTGTTTTGTTTATTATAGTGTTAGTTCTAGGTTATCAGTAGTAACTACTTGTTGAATACAATCGGCACAGTGTTGCCAAGATAAGTTCGAATGTATTATTTTATGTAGTTACGTTGTATCACAGAACAATAGTTGTATACGGACGGGCGTGATCTGAAAATGTATATGTGCCGAAATAGAGTATAAAATAGTAAATACCTTACTATAACTACAGACTAAACGTTTAATTCATTTTTATAATGATCATCATTTTTAAATAAAATATAACGGTCAATCAGTGTGAAAATATGAATAATATGTTGTTAATTCGATTGGATGAGTGATGTTTAAGAATGGATACAATTATTTTTATTAAAATTTGCATGAATGGTTGTCCGCTCAGTGAATGGAGATGGAATTGGTGCTCTCTCACTCTCTCTCACTCTCTCTGATAACATTTATGAATGAGAATCTCTGAGATAAGAAAACCATTGACCTAACGGTGAACGAACATTCATAGGCGTTCTATTCAAAATAAACAACCTGACAACAAGTTAAAGCAAAGGCCATTGAACTATATAATGTTTCCGATAACAATAAATATGGCCGTTGTAGTTGATAACTAAGATTGGGATATTAATCCTTTATGAAACCCTAAACTATATCCTTAAAAAATGCCTCTATTCATCAAATACTCTAAATAAAAGCCTTAAAATTTTATTTTTTATTTTTATTATTTTGATATAAATGATATCTTCAAAAATAACTTTAAAATAAGTTTTGTTAGTGTTTAAAATGAGTACTATTGTATTAGGTACTATAATACTTATACTATACAATATGATTACTGGAGATTGGAGTAGCTACCTACTTATTGGTTTTTTATTTAAAAAAATCATATAAACGTGTATTATCTACAATTATTAGATAAACTTTCGTATTTTAATTTATAAAAATAAAACCAGTGTTTGGAAAGTTTCTTTAAAAAAGGAACTCGTTCACATTCAGACTCATCTTGTTAAAAAGGAACTAAATCCTTTACTGTTTCTGTCTTGAAAAAAGGAACTAGTTCCTTTCCTTGTTCCTTAATAAGGAAAATTTTTCGTTCTTCAAAAGTTTATATTTTAATTATTTTATAATATGTAATAGTCAATTAAAAATTTGAGAAAATAAAAATATTTTTCAACTCTTAGCCATGTAATACCAATACGTGAAGTCGAAATTGAACTCATGCTTTCGTCTAACAAAATTATTAATTATTAATTAAAATAATTAATTTGTAATAAGTAGAAAGCGGATTTTTAGGTTTTTACATAGTTTTATTAGCTTTATGCAGATTTACAAAGATAAAAAATGTGGACGATTTATCCATCATAGAGTTCGTAAGAAAACATTTATTTTGTATATTTTAGCATATTTTTGACATTAGAGAATATTTAGCCTATTTTTTATATTTTTGAATATATTCAATTAATGTTCATTATTTTCAAAAAAAAAACATATTTTATTAATTTCTCGAGTTGTGATTTTTCTAGGAAAAAATAATTTGATTGTTATATCTATATTCCTATGTATGGAACTGTTATTCATTTTTTCCCATTTAAATAATTTATCTTTTACCAAGAAATGATGTATACAAGTTGTTCATTGTTTTTATTTAACTATTTTGTTTTTTATATACGAGTATAATTTTATTATATTTATACTCCTATGTATGAATTGTTTTAAATTGTTATATTTAAATAATTTACCTGTAAATAATAAAAATAATAATTTAATTTTTTACCAAAGGAATGACCCATAACAGTAATTCAATGTATTTATTGAACTATTTAAGAAAAAAAAAAAATTATATTATCGCATATTTACAAGTTCAAGGAATATTTAGAGAATATTTTAGGGTTTTTTTTTAACATATTAGCATTATATTTTAAGCTTTTAAGAACCTAAATATCCACTCTTTAGTCATAAGTAATAAAATAACTTGTGAACATGAAATTAATTTATCAAACTGTGTAGGCATCACTCAGCAGATAACTGATTGTACAGAAAAAGAGACATCGCATTAGCTGTAGCCTGTGGGTACGCTTTATAAGTAGAAAATATAATAAATTGTCAACTGTAAATAATATATACCCTTATCATCAAACGGTTTTTCCAGCCACTAGCGATGTCCCACCGATAAAACCACCGCGACAGAATGAGCATTTTGTACACATTATCAATAATTTCGTATAAAAAAAAAGTTTATTTTTAGCTATTTATATTTGCTAGGTTTTTTAAGAAATTTTAAAATTTTTTTCTCATAATTCTAAAAATGATTTAATTACTTTTATTTAAAAATAAATGAACGAAGAAAGGAACGACAAAAATCGTTCATGTTCATCTAAAATGTGAAGAAATTCCAATACATTCCTAAACCTGAATAAGGAACAACGTTCCCGATAAGTTCCTAAAAATGAAACGAAATCCTTTGAATGCGTTCCTTCCAAGCACTGCATAAAACGAATTAGTGACAGTAAAAGCCTATCGCAAAGAAATATTTGGGAAATAATATTAAGTGCATTGAAATTTCAGCTTTATAATGATAACCTCATTAAAACATCTAACTGATCGCTATAAAATTAACTGCTTAGCTTGGTATATGATTTAATTACTTACCTACATGTGCAACGGGATCAAAAATGTGTACAACTGCACTATTTTCAATCACACACATTAGTATTATTTTATATTTTGGAGATTACTTACACTTTTACACTTTAGAGATCGGTGGAATAGTCATTCATCAAGAATTTAAAAAAATAATCAGTGTCACAACTTTTCGAATAATAAAAAATAGTAAATTGCTTACAAAGCCCTACAAAGACACAAATATTCTGCCACAGTATTCCTCCCATAGGCGTGTCTACGGGGGTGGCAGGGTGGGCACCGGCCTCCCCAGCGATGTTCTTGGCCTCTTGGCTTATAATAGTGAAACCATGGATATATATATATATATAGTATCTATATCCGTGGCTGAATGAAAAGTAATTTTAAGTAGAAGGTAAATTTAAATTTTAAATTTATTGAATTTTACTATCTGTAATATTTTAATAAAAAACTGTTTATTGTGTAATAATTGTAAGTAATAAGATGTGTAGAGAAGGTTTATGTATACATGATAAAATATTTATAAAAAATAACTAAGTAGTACAATAGTTAATAGGTCTTATTTATAAGTTTATAGTTGTAATAGCATAGGAAACCAATTTTAAGATTAAAAAAATCTTTAATTTGGCGGGGCGAAAAAATTCTAGCTGCTATATACTTTCCATACAACAAAAATAAGTCACAAATATAGATATAGATTATAGATCGCTGTAGTAAGTAAAAAATTTAAATTTTATAACTGGCCTCCCCAGCCATGGAGGTCTGGACACGCCTATGATTCCTCCTCAAATCGCCTTAATTATCTATCACTTCACTATTCATGTGACTCATGAGCGACGGAATATGGGATTGGGATTTGGCAAAAACTAAATTGTGAAACAAATACTGTTAGAACCTTTTTCTTAGTTTAAAATTAAGATATTAGAATAATCCTTCATTAGTTTTCTATTTGCAAGGGTAAAAAATATGTTATAATTTTTGGACCATTTATATTATATAATAAAAATAAAACAATAGTGAATCACAAGTTAAATTAAATATTAAAGTAATTTGATAAATTAAATGTAAGTTGATCACAAAAAATAATTTAAAATTATGTCCAACGAAAATCTCGAATAATAAAAACCTGTAAGATAGCAAAATTATATATAAAATTAAAAATATTTATTTTCCAATTTAATGAGAGGGGCAGGGCAAATTGAATATTTTTATCGAAACATAAATGTTAATATTTTGTATGAGGTGTCAGTTTCTTTTACTTAGTGATCAATGATGGAATGTTTTTTGTTAAAATGTTTTAGTTGTATGAATAACGAATATATTTGAGTAGGATTATTTAAGGAATAAATACAAGAAGTCGAAACACGTTGCAATTACAGGGGATTTTTTTATTTTTACATTAATTAAAATATTACAATAACTCGATGAAAATCGATAAAAATAAAATTACTATAATTCTATAGTTAATTAATTGCGAACAATAGTATAGTTTAAATAAGCAAAAATTGTTTATTAATTGTAATGTACAAACTTAAATCAAAGAATTCACCAACGAACGATTTAAATCGATGACGTAATCGTTTGAGATTCATTATGACCACTCGTAAGTTGCCACAACGAATTGAGCCCACAAATGATTATGCCACCAATAATGTTGGTTCTAAATAATTTAATTGTAATCAATTATATAATAATAATAATAATAATAATAATAATAAATAATAATTTTTTTAAGCAACAATTAAAATTCTAAAAGAGCATTATTTGCTTTGTGCATATAATTAATTATTATTTTATTTCCTCAGATCTAAATAGATATTATATTACTTCGATTTATTAGTATATGGGCCCTATTATAAAAAATAAACATAATATCGTACACAAACTTTATATAGAGTTTGTATACCGTTTACGTGTTTTTAAAATAGGGTCCTTGGGAGAGAAGTACATATATAGTACTAAAATTACAGTCTGTAAGTTGGTAAGCAATATTCAGGATATAAAACAGAGCGTCAGAGCTCCTATATGATATTTTTGATTCTACAATTAATGTTTCATTTTTTAATTTTAGTTACCTATAATAATGATCAAATGCATGAATAACACAGATATAATATTTGATAACCAGTTTGACAATTTGCATTCTGCCGTGGGATAGGTTATTGAAAGGAATTAAGGTTTTTAGATTTATTCGTTTTCCCTGCCATTAATAGATGCCACCGCTTGCAAATTAGCCATATATCTAACAGCTCGAGTGCGTGAGGTTTGCTTCCGTTCTGTGCGTTTTACTTTTTTAAGCATAGTTGCCTGAAACAAATTATTTGTATTATTTGTAGTGCTTTGAAACACAAGCGATTAAATTTTAAGTCGTACGTCAATGTAATGTACAAAAAAATATTTTGAATAAGAATAGTAATTAAATTAAATAATTTAAAAATTGTTTATAAAATAATAATGTAATCAAGACTTGCAAAATAATGTCGCATAAAATCATTAAGTATAAATTTAAATGCATACTTAATTTTAACAGAATAAGGATGTTTAAAAAGACTTGAAAAAGTTTTAATTTGCAAAACATTTAAATTAAATTACGATGTAAAATCCAATGCTATAATCATATGACTTACTTTTAAAGCCGATTTGAGAATCACTAATTCGCCTGGTCCTTGTACCCAAGGTTCGCCGTCAACTTGCACGGGTACTTCATTAGTTAAATGAATTTTAACATGTCCACCCTAAAAAAAAATATATTGGATTTTAAGTGTGATCAACTTAATCACTTCACTAGCTATACATACCTGAGCTATTCTTTTAGCATATCGAAGACCTGTTTGGATTTGTCCTAAATGAACTACTCCAGATACGGCCACAACCTCCAGCATACCATCCCAGTGGTTAGGTGTGGAAAATTGTTCTTCGTTGCAGTTTCGACCCCATGGCTTAGCTCCTGATCCCCAACTTAAAAACATTTTTAAGTTTAAATAAATGTCTTTTTTTGTGATTCATTTAGTGTTAAAGAAGTGCAAACCTCAAAATATTTAAAATGATAAGTCCTTCGAGTTGAGGAAGTACGACCAGTTTTCCATCTACTTCCAAACGAACGCCATGTTGCAGATTTTTACAAGGTGGATGGATAATTTTCCTCAATCCAACATTTAAGTATTCAATCTTGTTACCAATTCTAGAAAATATTAGTTATATTTTTTATAATCTTTGTGCATGAAACGTTTTAAAAACTATTTGACGCCATACATTTTTTATTTTTATTAAAAATAATCTAGTACATTAATTGATACATTAAATAATTTGGATATATATACATATACATAAACATAATACTAAAATAATTTTAGATGAAGTCATCCATCGGTAACAACTCCTAAGATTTCTAGTAATACATGTAAGTTAATAATTACGTTAATAATTTTACTAGACGATTTTGACTTAATCAAACCTAGGGTTGATTATAATATGGATATTACATATATATTCGTAAATTCATAATGCATTTAAAACACAGATAAAATATATTGTTAAATAATCCATTCATACGAAAACTTATGTTAAAATTGTGATTAATATTTTTCCACACAAATTAATAGCATTAATCTGCAGAATTGTTAATGAAATTTAGGTATAAGTATAATTATATCTATGTACTATACTTATAATATGGTATATACTTATATATAAGTAGTATAAGTAATTTTGATATTTTAATATTTTTGTGTTTAATTGTTTATGATTTAAATTGGCTCAGTTTAAATACTTATCCTTTATTATGAAAGTAAGATATTTGAGATCAGTCTCTAATACATTTATTGACTATTATCATTTTTCATTTAAGATATGAGTTATTTAATATTCAATACAGTAAATAAATATTTGCCAATATCACTGGTAACTCCATTGCCAACACAACACCTTCTTCTACACACGAAAACACGATATTCAAATTTTTTGAGGATTTTAAAGCTATAATTAACCCATTACTACTCCTATTAACAATAGTTTTAAATAATCTACTTCCATCTTTTATTTCTTTACTTATAACCTATAATTTCTATACCTATACTATAATCAAAATATTAAATAGTTAAATTATTATTAATTTCCTATTTTCATCTCCCTAAATAAAAAAAAAAAAGAAAAGATGTATACGTATTTTATCTCTTACTTTTGCTTTAAATAAATTTCTCTTGACAAATTATATCCCCTATTAATAATAGCTTTTCACTCATATTGTGATAACATATTATTAATTTATTATTATATTATTACCCATTATTATTATTTAAAATTGCTATTTTTTTTAGTTTGTTGTATTATGCATTTGTCGTAATTAATTGTTAAACCATTGTATATAATTCTGTAACTGTTGAGCTATAATAGTTCTTACTAAAAAACACTTGAATAAAAAAATAAAAAGTATATTTTAATTTAAATCCTTACCGGCTGTTAAATCTTTCTGGATTTTTTTCTCGAGCTTTATGAAATGCAAGGCATAAATCAGCATCAATGCCAATTCCAAAGTAATTATTCATCACAAAAATTTGAGTGTTATCTTCACTCATTCCTATAATGAAATAAATAATTTCGAATACTAATTAATATTTAAATTAACGAAATGCATAAAATGTCAAAATTAAGCTTACCAACTGAGTTAGGTACGTGAATTGGTCGGCCGTCTGCTCTATCTTCGTGGTGAATGACCACAGTCCATCTGTCTAATCGTATTTTTTCTGCTTCTATTACATCCTCTAATAAATGTATAGGTTCGTCTGAACCATTGTACCCGGCACCCCATTTCAATACACGAGCTAGATCATTGCCAGTGCCTAATGGAACAATAGCGCATGGCGGTGATGAACATTCACTATCTTGACCCACGTTATCTAAACACTGAAGCACCCAGCCAATCGTACCATCACCACCACAAACGAGAATTTTATAATCTCTAATGTGTCTAAACACGTACAACCTATAGAATAAATAGTATTTTAATATTTAACATAATATGTATATTATATATGTGTGTGTGTGTGTGTGTGTGTGTGTGTGTGTGTACGTATTTTCTTAGTAAAAAGTTCAAAAAAACGATAAAAACCAACATACTGAAATACATAAAAACTGTTAGATGAATTATGTATTATATTTTATGTGTTTAATTACATTTAATTTTTTGAAATAAATAAGACTCAATTTTTGAAAAATTATTTTAAACAGAACAGTAATATATAAACGTATATACAATATGCATCAAAATGAAATTACATAAGTTTACTGAAGATAATATTTATTTATAGGATAATTAGTCAAATTAAGATGATTTGGAAAATAACTGTTTTATAACAACAAAAAAGAAAAAAAATAGTTAAAGGAAGTATTTAAAAAATGTTGCAGATTTTTTTTTTAAAGAAAATCAGGAGAATTTCAAAACTATAAAGGTCTATCAATAATTATTGTATTATTAAGAACTATTATTTTTCATGTAGATTTTAAAGTTGTAATGTTTAATTACCCAGGAAGTGGTCCTCCATTTCCCAAATCGAATACTTGATAAGGATTAAGCAATTTTCGAAAACTGGATATCAAGCTTAAACCTTGACAGCCACCCGACTTGACATTTACAAATACTAATAATGGCTGTGTTTCTGCTGGTACCATTATTGGATCAATGTTTGGTAATAACATAACTAATAGATGTTTGTGTTCATATTCAGCACCTCTAAGGAGGTACATGGCATTTACTGCAATATTTGTCTCGTTGTACATGATAACCAATGAGCCGTATTCGTAATAAATTGGTCCAATAGTTATAAATCTGCAATCTAAAAAATATAAAATATGATTAAAAAAAAAAAAAATTGTTTTTTCAGCCACATAAAGTATAATTTTGTTATAATTTTTAACTATAAATTTATAATGTACCTTCTCCTAAGAAAGTCATTAAAATATTTTCATAAGTTCGTTGAGATAAATTTGTTGGTAAATTTCCAACAAATAAGGCGATATTAGGTCCATGAGGATCCTGTTTAAGTTGCAAATAAAATCGCATTAATTCCATTTGTCTAAGAGATTCTTGTCCAATATTTTTTATTATATCTAATGGTTTTTCATCAAAATCAAGTACTCGTTCCGTCACTGTAAAACAGTGAAAATATTTATATAAAATATAAAAATAGAATTGTATATGATTAAACCCTAAAAAATATGTGTTTAATTTTCTTGTTACCTCCATGTTCCAACAGAAGTTGACTGAGTCTATAGTCAGTTGAATTGTGCGAAGTAAAACCGAACCGAGATAAAGACTCAACAATCAGATCTTTAGCTGTAGTTTGTCTATCAACAGAAACCACGCAAAATGGTATATCAGTCTGAAGACGGCCAGGATAAACTCTTACTAAACCACCATGACTGTCTTGCCTAAAAAATATTGTATTAAAAAATTAAATGTACAAAAAAATCTAATAACTATTGAATATACGAACTTTAGCCGTAGAAAAACAGCAGGCTTCTTGCCTCCTAATCTAGTAACATTATTTATTGGATTAGGATCTTCCAAAATTGGTTCATTTAAACCATATGCGTCAGTCAAATAAAAGTTTTCTGAAAATTTTAAAATAAATAGTTTACACAAGATATTTCATGTTTCACCAAATAAGATACTTTCGAATAAGATTAAATATTTTATATTCAACAGTATAAAAGTATTTTACAAGCCCATATATAAATAAATATATTTTATTCGCCTTAAACAATCATAAATAATAAATAATAATATATTATTTATACTGTGTATACAGTAAATATACGTATAGTAATAAATATAGATATTTAAAATAATTAATGTAGTAAATTAGTAAAAGAGCAATAAATGCTAGTATAAACTATAAACAAAAATCTTACTTTATTTTAACTTAGTACTTGATTTCTATAATATACTGGAAATGAAATAAACTATCATTATTTCAAAACAATTTTTTGAAGACTCAGGAATTCCATGTTAGTATGAAAAAAAATTATTGAGATAATCAAAAACCAATAATATTTGAAAAATATTGTATGTATGGCACTTTCTGGTACGATGAGACTTTTAGGGTAACTTTTGATTGATCACTCATAAAATATTTACAGAAAAAAATCAATAATGTAAAATTAATACATTTTTAGTTTTGTTCAAAAAAATTTAAATTGAAAATAAAAATTTGTAATCATTTTAATTAATACTGAGTAAATTTAATAATACGAATTTTATATTTTCGTTAGTAAAGTTCATAATTACCTGCAGATTGAGAGATATTTAATGATTGAAGTATTGTAGAAATGAGCGTCTCAGTTTTTACTGCTTTTGGAACTTTTACCGTGAAGCTGGTATGTTTTAAATATGATGCATCACCGTCGTAAACTTTAACTAATTCTATTTGGAATAAATATCACAGTTATTTTTTACATTCTGCCTTACAAATTTACAACAATGATTTATGTATATACCTTCATTTTTATCTTCTTTAATTTTTTCAATTTCATACATTTCCTCATCTTCCACGTCTTTAGTTTTACTCTCACCACTGCTAAATTCAATCGATATACTCCGAGCTATTGACACATGTTAATAACATTTATTAGACTTTTATATGTTATTATTTTTGAACCTATCTTACGCGTAGCTTTTTCTTTTCTGCGCACTTGTACCCCAATAATTGATTCCATTGGCACTTCAGTTCGTGGAATGCTGACTGCATGAGGTGGTAAGTATATTGGACCAAGAATACCAAAATCACATTCGAACGGTATTTGACTGCGACATGTTGCGTGGGCCTAGAAAATTAAATGATACCATAAAATAAAATGGTTATTTTATTTGTTTTCAAAATTATGTATCAATATTGCAAATTTAAATTATTATATAAATAATCATAGGCGTGCGTACAGGGGCAGAAAGGTGTGCTCTTGCTGCCCCTGGACGGTTTGAATATATCTGGAAGAGCCGAACTGGTCCAAGCTGGACCGCCACACCGGTAATGTTTAATACAAAATAAGTTGGTTATCAAAAAAGTGTATTGTTACCAAGCTAATCTTTTCTGTGTTTAAACTTTAAATAGGCTTTGAAGCTTAAATTTGAGCTTAAAAATGTTAACTTAATACTCATGTATGTGCCGATAAAAATATTCGCTGCCACCGACTTGAAACTCTGCGCAAGCCTATGTAAATAATACACATAGAGAAATAAATAAATAAATGCATAGCCTAGAATATTGTGATTTGTATATTAAACGAACGGTTTTGAATTAAAAATTCAGCATCAGATAATTCAAAAATTCAAAAAAATATTGACACAAAAATGATTAATCTAACCGAAATATTAATACATTATAATGATGGTTGAATTTAAATGAAATAAATATTATAGTTTTTTAAGTGTTTTTGCACATTTAAATATATTTAATAGTTAGTATTAAAGTTAGGTCTTAGTAAGTGTAGTAAACCGACCTATGTCATATTAGTAATCTACACATGTTCTAATAGACATGACCTATTCCTAGGTGTCCTTTTGGCAACTATTATTTGGCAGTTAAAAAACTCTCTCTGTTACATCCGTATCCAAGTCTCGTATGCAAGTGTAAGAAGGGTAAAACACCGTTCGCTGCTTCATATAAATATGACTACTGTTAGTCTAAGAATTTTAGAAAGAACAAGTTATCCGAACTCAGCCTCAAACACTATCTGATCGTGTAGCCCGCGCGCTTCACATCGCCGCCAACTCTAGTGCTCAAACACTTATCTTCTCGGGCAGACTTTTATGTTCTGTCCTTAAATTTACTTAACCATTGTTTGTACTTATGTTTATATTTTATGTGTTATAATATATATTACTTTTAAACAAACTTATTATTGACTCCAACATATTTACTGTCCAAACGAAGCTGTCAAGAGCCGTCAGTATAATAAATATTTTTGTATTAGTGTACAGTGGTTCAGAACCTGATCCCTGTTCTACTCACTACAAAGGCTTTATTCAGTAAATATATATATATATTAAATTTATCGAATTTTATCATATTATAATTAGTCTAATACATATAATCACAAATCATACGCTAAATAAATATTCATTAAAACATTTTATGAATTTATAATATAATATTTTTTTTACACTGTTCAGTTCAAGTATTATTTGATTAAACTTTATTCAAAATAATAGAGCCCTTTTCACTAAGTATTTAATGATACATTTTAGTTATAAATTTAAATTGTGCCTATTTAAAAAGCATTTACAACTATTTACATACCGTAATACCACACCATTCACAACGAAATCCAGCCAGGCAGTCTGTGGTCCAACATGGCTTGACACAAGCATAACACACTGCACCTGGTCTAAGATTTCCTTCTCTCCAATGATGTTCATGATGCACGGAATCCAATAATTTTCCAGGGTGATAAGTAGCTGTTTCTTTACAATCGGCGACTGCCGACGATATACAATCGACATGGGTGTAGTAATGACAAACTGTAACATTTTTTTATACATTCCATGAATTGATAAAATGTTGTTTTTTAAAAACGTTGATAGTTCATTATTTGAACAATAATTTTGTCATTTTTATTTATCAAATGTATTTAAAACAAAGTTCACTGCATGTAATTTTTCGGTTGACAATAATTACTATTATTTAACTATATATTCTAATATTTTTATTATTAAATGTTGTTTTATATATATTTTTGGGTTTTTTTAATATACTCTTTCATTTTTATATTAATACATGCCTTTTTTGTATTAAAATAAAAATATACAACTTTTAATTACTTACACAAATGTTTAAGCTCAATGTATTTTAAATTTTTTTTATTTATTATATATTACCACTATTATATTAAATATTACGTTTAATATCGATATTTAACAGTTAACGTCGATCATTAATCAAATTGTATCTATACGCTTTATCCGTCAATATTATAAATACTAAATTCGTTCATACGATTAACTGAGAGTTACTCATAAATATATTATATACAATTATTTGGACTGTTATTTATTAACACGATTCGTGTATATCAATATTTATTTTAAACTTAATTTTCTTGGTTCCGTTTTCTATTAAAATTTAAGTCAGTGGTGTAGCTACCACAGGGAAAGCAGGAACCGTTGCCCCTAAGGGTCAACTTTTTATATAATATTGTATGGCAAAAAATGTATTTTTCTGTTTTAATTATTTTAAATACAATTATATAGGGTATTTATAATTAAAAAAAAAAAAGGATCTTATGAAAATAATTTACCGATTAAAATTAAAAATTAGTAAGTCATAGAGTGAATAAATAAAATATTTTACTTACTTTCACAAGTAACGCTGAAGGTACGACCATCGATTTTTTTACGGCAAACATTACAACATCTTTGGTTTCTAATTCTTATTGGTTCGGACCAACAATGTGATACTGGATTCTAATAATAAAATATAAAATATAAATACACAGCAAAATAACTTATGAAAAATTTTGAAAATATGAATATATATATAGGTGTTACCTACCTTAATTAAACTAGCTGCTAGACTATGGCAAGGTGATATGCCGGGTTTTTTTAGGCAACTTTCGTGAGCTATATAATTACATACTGAAACATTAAAAAGCAAAAAATCAAAGGCTGTAAGCGATCTACAATTGTACACAATAGTATTAACAGAACCAGAGACAACACGTTTGCCGGTTTAAATATAGTAGGTACTTGTATCATAAATTATTTTTGTATACGTGTTTTATACCTTAATTGTAGATATCCTCAAAGACCAGACGCAAAAAGAAAAACAAATGTTGATTGTCAACAAAATGCTATAAATTATCAAATATTAACATTTTTATTTTAATATTCTTAAATATATGTATATACGCTAGTTGATTTTTGTATTTTTATTATATTTTAAAAAAATTGTTATTAAAGTTAAATTTATTTTCATTATTATACTAGTATTTACGTGTTTTATAATTATTATTTACAATGTTTTAAAATGATAATTTAAAAAAATTAATATTAAATAATAAAATTATGAATGTGAAGATAATTAAATGTTGTATTTTATTTGATATATAATATACTATATTTATTGATAATTAGTTTATTTACTATTACCAGTCAGTAACTGTCTGATAGTATTAAAAATATCATAAGTATCATTATATTAGACTTATCAATTTATTGAAAAATTGTAATCTTACGCTACTTTAATATAATTTACAAACTGAAATCTTATGAATAAGCGATGTTCTAGAATGATTCCAATAAAGGGTCTGTTTTTATGAAGTATTGTCTGAGAACGGAATTTCTATGAAAAATTCTTAGTTATTCTCGCCGACAGTATGATTGACATCGAATGATAGTATTCATCAAGAATTGTTTTTTACTAAATTCCAAATTGTACATTATACATCATATCTACAACAACATCTATTTGATAAATTTAATTATTGATTTTTTACTTTTTTAAAGTATTAATTTCCGAAGTAGATTACACAGACACAATATTACTGAATCTGATGAATTACTAAAAAATTAATAGACTATCGCGATAGAAATGCAATTTCTCATATTATATCTATATATTTATTATGTATATTGCTATTTGGTGAATAAAATAATCACAGATGATAAAGGATTTCATTCCTCTTAACTGATTTCATGTAGCTTTTCAAGTTTGATTATGGATTACTTTCATGTAAAATAGGATTATTCGTTATTATTAAAATATACCTACATTATTTTAAAATTGTTATCAGTACCTGATGTTATTAATGATTTAATTCATTTGAGATTATGAAGCTATTATAATATATTAAAAAAAAACCCTAAATGTAAATGATATTTATGTACTGTTCATACTGGATTTCATGATTTTAAATTAGATTTCAATTACTTTCGGATATTCGTGTCCTGTCATATTCAAGTTGTACATAAGTATATTTATAAGTATACGTAGGAATACTCTTGGGTAAAATTATTATTTTTTTTAACGACGATTTATTAAATTCATGTATATCCATTGTTATAATATTATATGTACATTTTTATAGGAGGGGAAGTATAATAATAGCTATGGGCGTTTTGTTACAGAATAAAACTGTTTGGGGGACAAGTCCCACAGGGATTACAGTGCACCGGGAATATGGGTTGATCAAATTTTTGCTTTTGACGTCACGAAGATGTTTGCTAACAGTGTTGGAAACACAACACGTTTACGGTAAAAAAAATTATTCATCTGAAAACAAAAATAGTCAATCTAACAAACACATTTGACAATACGGATTTGAAATGTGAAACCATCGAATGCTGGGTTATCTTTTCATCAGAACGAACACTACGATTAATATGTACTTATATTGCATACACAGAACGCCGTTTAATAATAAGTCCTTATAAGTTTGAAATTAATAGAAAATGAATATTATACATGAGGTACTTGAAACATAACTAAAATAGTAGGAATAGTAGTATTTTATTTTTATAATTCTTATGATTTTGCAAAGATATTTAAAATAATTGTATTCATCAATTAATTATTTATTCAACTAATAAATAGAAAATTTATAATATAATGGTACATAGGTATAATTCATGATTGAATATTTTAATAATTGTCTAATCGTTAAACTAAAATTCATTTTGTACGTGTTATTAACACTATTTAAAATAATAAGCTTTATGATATAAATTGTATATTAATTTTATAATTATTGAATTTCAACCATTTTCTTTCTTATGACAGCATAGACATATATTATCGGTACATAATTATTAACACACATTATATACAACACTTATATTAATAAATTCAAAGGAGTTATTGCATTTAATTTTAGGTATTAATTTAACATTTTTCAAATACCTGCGAGTTTATTTCCTACTTTATAATCCCACTTTTTCATCGGTATAGTCTAAATAGATTTTATCATTGTAAACAATGGCACAAAATTCGTTTTTCAAATAAAGCATGTTGAGCATATTATATCGTTCTATTTGTCTTTCTATCACCGTTCTATCGGCCACTAAAAGCATTAACAACATTTGGTGTATGTACGTGTTTTATTGCAAAATATATATACTAATATAACGAATGTCTGTGTTTGTCTTTGTCTTTGACAACATAAATTACATCACATGATATTCAATGTTCAGTTATGCATAAAATACTCGTGTATGCGAATAAAATCTACGAGTAACATGTTAACGTTTCTATTTCATTATAACTTTTAATTCTATTTTGGAAATACTACAGTTATATATAAAAGTAATTTGGGTGTATTATTGAAATGGTAGCTATACAATTTTACACTCTAAGAATTCTACTTGTATATCGGTACATTCATGTTGCGGAAATATTGAACTTCACTACGGAACTTGATAAGTGAAAATCCCATTGAATTAGTAATGATGAGTACATCGTTTTCTCGTCAACATCGATTTATTTTTCTCTGAACTCTTTTAATACATGATTCGTTCAAGATCAAATGATAATGTCCCGATAAAACACTAATCATTTTACAAACTAAGGAATACACATAGATGTATAAAGGCAACAAAATAGATGTATTTCGTTTTGAGCTATAAGTAAAGAGATCAACGAAAATGGTGAAAAACCATCTGAATACATCTGTGGTTAGTCGAATTTATCAATACACAGGTAATAAAATATTAAAAAAGCGCGCGCTCACAACACATACGCACACACTCACACACATGTACCGTGTACTTAAATTATAGAAAAATCACTTAACCTAAAAACGTGTTGTTTATAAAAACCCTAATCAACATGAAAACGAAAGACAATAATGTCATCGCACCACCATAATCACCAACATACAGGCACGTAAACAAGGGGATGTTTTAAGGGTTACCCTCCCCCCCCAGCTGAAATTCAGGAAAATTATTAAATATGTTTTTATAGAGTAAAATTAATTTATAGATTATACAGTTATGAAAACGAATGATCTGAAAACTCCCTCAAAATATTTTTTTTTTGTGTTCGCGCCTGCCAACACCATCACCAACATCACCACAACCACCAACAACACCATGACCACCACAACTACCACCGTCACGACCACCACTGACACCATCACACCACCTGCACGACGACCGCTACCACTCGTGACAATATGTACAGATACATGATCTATACGTACGTACACGCGCGGACACAGCAGCCAATACATGCGTCATAACACGCGACCCTTAGAACATAGGTGAGATGGAGTGAGATGAGCTTTGAGCGGTGGTGTCGCGCCGAGGAGACCTGGCGAGGATAGTGGTCGCGAGTGAAGCGCGGTGAATGGTTGGGGGATAGACGGATGTTGGCGTGGGGGTGTCGCGCGTGCCGCTGACAAACGGGAGAGGGGGGTAGGGACAAACCTGTGCAGAAATTGCCCTGCGTCACGACGCCCCACAGTAAATTGGTGCAATTGTGACAGTAGGCCGGTAGGTGGAAGGTTTTCTTGGTGAATACGTGCCCTCGGCAGTCCGCCATTGTGCGAGCAGTACTGCCGCCGCCGCCGTCTTCCCCACCGCCACCCGCACCGGCGCCCGGCCGCGTCCGTCCCAGCCAGATTTCCTATATGTGCCGAAACCCGGTCGGCAAACACGTCACTACTGCACCGCGCACGCCACACACACGCACACACTGTTTACGCACGCGAGACGACGACGACGACGACGACGACGACGACACCGACGACGACGACACGGACGACACCGACACCGGCACCGGCAACGACGGCGACGATGTCGTAATATCAAACGGTCGTGCCGCGGGTATTACGGTTCGCGTGCGTTCGAGTTTGATGCGTTACATCGTTCGGCAGCGCGAATTTCGGAACACGGCGAACGGGTCGCGGCGCGGATAATATGTCGCGGCCGCCACCACTACCACCACGGCCACCACCGGCGGCGCGGTGTACGTGTAGCGTGTAACGTGGTGCGCGACGCGTCCGTGCGGGACAACGGAGCCCGTATGTGCGTACGCGGACGGCACCACTGTCCACCGACCACCACCACCACCACCACCACACACCGTCCGCACCACCGCCGCCGCGTGCGATCGGCACTACGGTCGACGTCCGTTTACGTTGTGTACGTGTGTCGTGCGGCGCGATCCGCCGAAGACGAAGAGGTCGACGATGACGACGACGAGGCGAGACGTACCCGCCGCGGCACGCACACACACTCACGCGCCCTCGTTGACGTACACACACTCACGTTCGCTGGCGCGCACGCACACACATACACACACGATCACTCACACACACACATAAGCGCACGCGCGCGCGCACACGCTGCAGGCGTGATCGCGGCACCGAGAAAATATGATAACGAACGAAAATATAACACGGAAAATAATAATATAATAATAATAATAATAATAATAACAACAATAATAATATAACGATATGTAAAACGCGACTGCGATCGCCCACGGGGCCGCGCGGATGATCACGTTATTTCTGGCCCGTATTCCATCGTCGCGGCACGACTAACGCAGGACGAGCGCACCGGCCGTGGTCTCCGTCGTTGGATTATCGCGCGCCGCGCGTCACACTCCGCACATTCTCGCACGCGCTCGCGCAGACGGCACACTCACAAGCGCACGGGGACGGACACTCGCGCGCAAACGCCACGCATACAAGTGCACACGCACACGACGAGCACGCACTCACACGTAGCTCATACACACAAGCTTGCGCGTACACACGCACATACACGTACGCGCGCGCGCGCACACCGTTCATGTACAGGGCAGGCGACGACGGCGGCTACAGCGACTCGTCGGCGGACGTCACGGGTTGTACGCGGGCGCGGCGCGACGAAGCACCTCCCGCGTGCTCGCCACCGTAACCCCTCGGGCCACCGACCCATCATCGTCGCCGTTGTAGTGTATACATTTATAATATACACATGTACAATTTACGTGTGCGCGCGCGCGCGTGTGTGTGTGTGTGTGTATGTACGATATGGTGGCGGCGGTGGTGCTGCTGGACGACGACGACGACGACGACGACGACGGCGACGACGACGACGTCGACGCCCCCGCGCCAATCGGCCAGGCCCTTCCGTCGGCTCGTCGGCGTCGATAAAGTGTCACACCGGGAGCGCCATCTGACGACCAACGCCGAGCGTTCCGCTACCACCGCCGCCGCTCTCACGGGCTTATACACGCTGACCCGCGGCGTGCGCGACTGCCCCGTAGTACATCACGCTCTAGTCGTCTCGGTCGCCGCTTACGGACGGTGGAAAATAAAAAATTAATAACCTATACATGTGTATACATTTACTACGTATATGTGTGTGGTGAGAGTGTGTGTTGTACATGTCAACGAATCTCTTCCGAGGGGTTGCGTATCGGCCGCGGTAAAACAAATTTACTGGTGCACGACGCGCATAAAAATAGAAGCGCATACCGAGCCCGTTCTCGTTTCGCTTATCTAAAGACGTTTACGGGTAATTGGAGTAATTTCAAAAGCAGTGGGGTTGATTTTATCCTGTAGGTCCTCCGCACGTTATATTATATTTCTAAACGCTTGTATAAGTGTGTGTTTGTATGTGTGATCGCGTGTGTGCGCACTCGAGTACGTGTACGTAGGACGCTCGCAAGGACCAAAATGTGTACAAACGATATAATAATATATCCCTTGACGCGACAGTCCATTAGCGTATCCATCGTATACTCGTGTGGACCACCGAGAAACATACTTATACTTATGTATAAACAAAATTATTTCTTCTGCTCAATATATATATATATATATATATATATATATATATATATATATATATA